CAGAGGAATTAATGTGGTCCATTCTGTTCAGCCCTCGCTGAAAGCAGTGGAGCTCAAGGGAAAACCTCAGTGTGTCAAGGCCTGTATGCAATGCCCTGAACAACTGGAATGGTGTTCAGGTTGTATGCTTGTGGAAGGGAGGAGTTTTTAGGTGGTTGATGATTGGGCTGAACACAGCAAGAGCTGTTCGTTGTTGTGAGAATCAAGGTGTACATACATCAAGAAAACATTTTTTGGCTCTTGGTCAGTAACTGACTTGATCCTGTTTCTTCCTCCAAATAAGTGGAAATATACTAGAAATACCTAGTGCAGCTTGAATCTTGTTCGAAAGGAACAAGTTCATTGGAAGGTTCTCTATGCTCAGATGGGCTCCCTTGCAAGGACTGGTATTTTTCCCTTATGCAGAGGAACATAGGATCTAAAGAATTGTGAAATGTTGTATAGGTAGGGTGTATAAGAGAACAAAGGTCCTGACAGAAAAGTAATTTGTTTTTATTCCTGCTAGAATGTCAGCAGCTCTACTTATTCCTTGATGATTCTTGCTGTACTAATCTTTGGGTTCTGTATATGCACATGTCTTTCATTTGGGCTAAAGCTCTGTAGTGAAGATATTAAAGCTGGGGTAACTTGATAGTGAGATGTTTGTGGATGGCATAGTGTTCTTCCTCTGAAAGCATTTTTTCTCTACCTTCAGTGGCTTCAGTGTACTGCAGCCTTGCAGGTATAAAGCTAGCTACAGATCTGTGAAGACAATGTCCTTACCAGTAGAGGCAGGAGTTTAGCAAGTCCAAAGTATCCTAGAGGTAGGGGAGTTAAAGAACATAACTTATTTTTTCTGAGATTTCCCTAGGGCAGCCAAGATTCAATAGGTCATCAGAGTGGGAAGTGAAGCTAAGCAGCAGCCCAGACAGAAGCTTTTTAAAATAAGAAATACTGAGTCTCCATTCAGGAGAAAGATAAGTAAATATTACAGCTGTTCTTTTATGAAAAAGTATTATGTGTGTTGACAGAGTGCTTTTCTTTGAAACACTTGATAGGTTTTGAAGCAGTTGATAAGATCCTTGGTCAAGTGTTTTATTGGAAAGGCTTCTAGGTGAAAGAGGGTTCTGGTTCACAGAAGGACACTCAGATGTTACTCTAGGGTAAAAGGCAAGTGCATCTGGTCTTTCAAGTACAGCAGGGTCCCAACTCTGGAAATTTTTTTTGGTGGTTTTGAGGGTTTTGTTTCCTTATTTGTTTGTTTTCTTTGAGATTGCCAATACAGTATATCACCAGCTACAAGGAAAGAGATTGCCTTTGAAGTTTACAAAGTGGCGTACTGACTTCTAGTGACAGGGAAAGTCCTACTGACCTGTAGCTCAAAAAACAAGGTCAGACAGCTTGTCTGAAGGCATTCCTTGCTCCTCACTGTGTACCCCAACTGGAAGCCATCTGCTAACCTGTTCTTGCACTTTCCACAGTGGGTTAATGCTTATTCAAAGCTTGGCCTGTAGATGTTTTTTGTTGGCCGTTGTTGTTAAGCAGCCTTGTGTAAACTAGCATGGAATCCATTCATGGGCCTCTGGGGAAACACAGTGTAAAAACATACTGGTTTGAAATGAGACTCCTCCTTAATGTGCTTCTGCAGCTCCTGCTCCGAGGTTTACTTCTAAGGTCTTGTCTACAACTTGTTTGAGTACTTAATTTTTAATGCTGAGAAAACAGTCTTAGCTGAGGCTACAGGGGGAAAAAACCAAGCGGCAATCAAATTTAATGGAATGGTCCTTGATAGAGTAAGCTTCTCAAATATCAATTAGGAATTCTGTTTTCTATGAATGTATTTGCAAAATTATGCTCTTGTCTTAAAGTTGATGGAGACAAGCAGAAAAAGAAATGTATGAGATGGCTATTTTCTCTAAGTGTTTTCACTACTTAGTGCTATGAAAATATTGGGGGTTTTTTTCTCTCGTGCTTGGAAAACAATCTGGAGTGAGAAGGGTGCACACTTTCATTCTTCTGATGTCATTGTCATGTCATCATGGCATGTAAAACTGATCAGCTTGTTTTCCATGTTCTGGCTTAATTTGTACTTAATGTATTTTGGAAGAATGGCTGAACATACAGTTCTAAAACTTGTTTGCTCCCTGCCAGCCAGTTTGTCAGCTAAGGACTGGTAATATTTCAGGAAAAAAATAAAACAGAAAACAACCAGGATATAAGGCTGAACCTCTATGCATAGCACCATTCCTATTAACTTTGTTTGCTGGGATTTTGCATGCAAGTGTGTGAGATAATTGACTGCAGTCACGGTCTGTCTGAGTGGTCTGGTTTTGTGTCTGAGCTGCATAAAACATCAGAACACCAAACTGGATAACTGGTTACACAGTTTACTAATTCTCTGAAGATGTATTGTTATTCTTGACCTCTCTTTCTTGAAACTTAATTTATGAAAAAATAAAACATAGAACAAGAGGCCTTATTTTCTTGTATAAGTGTGATAAAAGCTATTTTATGAGCGTAATAATTTTAAAAATTAATTTCTACACATATGAAAAATAAATTTCATGTAGCTTATCCGTTTCTGGATATTAACACATGCTTTTGGGGGAGACAGAATGTTTAACTCTTTATTTTGCATTTATTTTGCGTGAAGCTGTTTTAAAGGCAGTGTTTCTGGGCAACGTAAGTAACTTAAGGTTTTGTGTCACTTAACAGTTTTTCAATCATCTTAAATTTGTCATGTGGTGGGATTTTAGTATATTTTAGTTTTGTTGGCTTCCTTAAACATGAGTGATACCAGATCTCTTGCCTTATGGGCTGGTAAGCTGTTAATGTGTAGCCTTTCCTTGAGTAAAGGAGATGGACTGAGTCTAAACTTGCTTTTCTTCTGTTCTTCCTGGTTTTTTTAGCTGGCTTATTTTAGTCACTTCTGCTTCCATGAAATAAAGGGGTCTTCTAACTATGAAGGAAAGAATGGATGATTTCCATTTAGACAGTATTAGGGCTTATGGGAAGGTGTGTTGTCCACTGTGTTTTTTGGTTTTAACCTAACCTTCACCAGGTCACAGTCATGGTATTTCAACCAGAACTGCTTTTTGCACTTTTTTTTATTCTGACTTATTAGAGCTGATACCGTTTTTATAATCAAGGTAAGCAGTTGTGGAATTTGACCTCTTGTCTGCTTTTTTAATCTTATGACTGAATGTGTACTTGTTGACCTCCCTCTCCCCACTCCTCCTATAAAGCCAGTGACTTTGTTTTAATATTAGTATTCAGAAGTGTGTTATCTCTGCTTGCTCTGCTGCCCAGTGATGAAATGCCTGAGTATAATGCTAGCTGCTGAGTCACCGACGATATCACTAGAATTGGTAAATGGACTGTGTTCAGAAAGTATTTACACCCTGAGAGTAAATCACTGGTGTTGTACTTTTCCTTGAAGGTACATTCCTGTCCATAAAGGAATGTGAGTAAGCTCTTTCTCTGTATTGCTTGTATTTTTCTTAACGTCACTCTCCATGAAATGCAGCAATAATACACTTTAATAATAAATGCTTTCAGTGTTATGTGCAAATGGGAAATACAGGCCTATGCTATCCAGGTGGGTTGATTAGCACACACAAAACAAATTATGCTCCATTTATAGTGAACTGAATGTTGCTGCAAAGAAATGATAAGGTAGAGCCCCTCTTACAAACAGAGTGGATCCATTTGTTGTGAACATCCTGATGAGTCCAGTATGAGTAGGAAGTCTAGCTTTCTAAGCATAGCCCTCATCTAAATATCTTGTCTTTGGGACTGATGCCTGTGATGTGCTTACTTTGCTTGTATAGCTTCATTTTAAGCCATTTGTACAGTAAATGTGGACTCAGTGTTTTTGAATAGGAATGTTTTCCCTCCACTTATGCTTGTCAGGGCTACATTATTAATGTTAAAATGTAGACATCAGTGCAATAACTCTTGCATCTGTAGATGCATTCTCAACACTTTGAGAATGGCTTTAGAGCATGTCCCTTTGAAGGGGATCTGCAGTGTACCTTCATAATATAGGGGTACTTTATAACACAGGAGTACATTGCAAACTTTTTCATCTGCTTCAGGGAGTTTTGTGTTGCCAAAGCTGCACTGCTTCCACAATAGTCTTGTTCAAATATGTTTGGCCTTTAAATAGGAATGTAGCTTCTTGTTAGTCTTGAAATATAATAGTGTCGCTATTGCACATCCCTTTTTGTTTGAGTCAAGAACTATGGTGGGAGAAAGGATAGAGAGAACAAAACTACTTTCATCTTGTCTGGAAATATTCAGTGTAATTGGTCAGAGTATCAGCTTCCAGGCAGGGCTACAGTATCACAAAAGCATCTGCAGGAACTTGGTGGGTTTGACCTGCTGGACATAAACTAATAGGACACCCATAAACAAGGCTTTTATCCTTGTGGTGAGGAAAAATCTTGAGTTGTCAAGATAATGGAGTACCTCTTCTAGGTAATGTGGTAATCCATGTATGTCAATAGTTTTTATGTTTCTGGAAATGCCAAGATTATTAATTGTGTATGTATCCTGTGCTATGCATCCAAATTGGATTGTGTGTTTTTTTTCAGTGAAACTCCTTGCTGCAAGGTCAGACAAATCAAATTGAGGTTAAAATGAGCTGGCTGTGTCTTTCAGACAGCTGGAAACCTTAGACAGCAGGCATCTGTTCCTATGGTTAGCAGAAATCTAGTTTTGTCTGACCTGTATCTCCTCTACATCTGAAGCGACATTTTGGGCTAAGGCCTAAACCCTAATTTCACAGAACAAAATGGAAATGGTTGAGGTTGGAAGGGACCTGGAGGTCCTCTGGTCCAACCCCCCTGCTCAGTCAAGGCCACCTGGAGCAAACAGCTCAGGACCATGTCCAGATGGCTTTTGAATATCACCAAGGATAAAGGTTCTACAACCTGTGTGGGCAGCCTGTGTCAGTGCTCTATCACCACCACAGTGAAAAAATGTTTCTTGACCATCAGAGGGGATTTTCTGCCTTTCAGCTTGTGCTCATGCCTTCCTGTCCTGCCACTGGGTACTACTGAGAAGAGCCAGGCTCCAGTTGTCTTTGCATCCTCCCTTCAGGTATTTACATAGATGAGATTTGCCATGAGCCCTCTCTTCTCAAGTTTGAGCAGTCCTTAGACATACAAATACTTAAGGGCCAGTCCAGTCCAGTAGTGTTAGAAAACTTCAAGGAACCATGTCAAAGATCAGCTGGTAACATACAGTCAGTGCTTTTCTACTACTGTCTTTGTTCACACATGCAGTTCATTGAATTAAAAAAAAATATGTATCATTCTATGTCAGATTCTGTTTCAGCTTGGGGTGGGGAGAACTTAGAACTTTTATCAAATCTAAAAGTTCTCTTCTTCCTCTGAACTGTAGATGCTACTGGATTGCATATAGGGGAGTAGTAAATGGAAGACTTAACAGTAAATAGCTTTGCTGCAATGTTCTTGAAAAAAAAATTTAAAAACCCAAACAAACACAATAACAAGCAGAAAGTCCCTATCACATAGGGGCAAAAGTATTTGAGATCATTCATAAGGAGAAAAGATCTGTTCCACTAAATGAGAACATTTGGATTATCGAGTTCTGCACTGAATTTCCGTACTCCATATTTATCTGTCTGCTCCAACTGCTGGACAAATGTCTGTGGCATACTCTAATTTCAGGAAATGTCTTATCAACTTACCCAGGGCCTGGCTGAAGTCTGCTGGCTGTTGCCTGGAGTAAGAGTAAGGACAAAAACAGTGTCTCAGAGGAAAATCATCCCTAAGAAGGGGCAATCTTCATAATGCTCCAAGTCCCTCTAAAATCTGAAGTAAAAGTGGGATTTTTGCATCTGTATTGGTCTTTGAAGTCTGATTCTTTAATTTTGGAAATGTGGGAAGAATGTATTCTGGGCTATAGCAGAAAGAGCAAAGAATGCTTTACAAGGTGGATTTTATTTGGAGCTAAGAACTCCAGCATTGCTTTGTAAAACTTACTGTTGATTTCTGGCCTATGTAACATTTTTCACTTCAGTTTGGTTAGTGTCCAAAATGAAATAAAAACTAGCAAGTGAGACCTCTGAGTTTTTCAGAAATGCAGAACAACTATACAAGCATGCATGTTTAGTTTGGAATTTCTTTTTTAAAAAAACCTGTCAGTTAGACTTAAAGAATAATGAATAATTAACAAGATTCCCAATGCAGAGCTTGTAGAATGGACAGCCAGTTTCAGAAGTGTTAATTTTTTTTTTTAATAGGAAGCAGTTTCCACTCTGAGTCAACAACTGAGTCCAGCAGCACGAGTAAGCCAGTAAGAGCCAACAAAAACATGGCAAAAACATGACATTTGCTTCAAAAGAGAAAACATTCCATGCATTTGCCATAATCCAGTTGGGAAGAAGTGTGGGGGAGAGATTACAAAGGGATTTATCAAAGTAATCAGTGGTGTGTACGGAAGAATACTTAAGGGAACTAGTTAGATCAAAACTGCCTTAAGATCTATTTTCAAAACAGTCCTTAAGAATAAAATGTTTCCTGTATGCATTCTTAAGAACTCTTACATCTTAAATCTGATCTCTCTGTGAGACTAGCAAACTTCAAAGATGTCCAGTCCCTCAAAGGGAGAAGAAAAAAGTTGTCTCTACTGGATCTGAAAGCGTGCAGCAGTATGCTGTTCTGATTCTGTTCTAGTATCAGCATAATAGATCAGCTTCAATGAGGCCTTTAGGTTGAGGAAAGTTGCTTGTGGCAAATGCCTCTGAGAAAATAAATGCCTAATCTCACTGGGGCAGCTAAATATCCTTGGGGTGTGGTTTTTCTCTGGTAATCTTGTAGCTCTGCAGCTCAAAACGTGCTTCCCAAACATGTGCATCACTGCAGATATCATTGAGTTTGTTTTGGCATTAGTATTGGCAAGAATGAATAGCAACCATATTTAATTTCAGCATTACTCAAAATAGAAACAATACTTCACAGAAAATGACAAAATCAGAAGGCTTTTTCTTTGAAGTCCTCATATTTGACTAATCAGTATTATAGTACTGGAGCACAAGTAGGGACAGAATGGGCTCTGGAGACTGGCAACTTCTGCAGCTCTCAAACCTAAGTAGACCTTGTGACATTTATCAGATTACAGTTAAATTAAGTAAAATGTGAAAAACAAATACATTTGAGAAGAAGACTTGGAATTGCCATTGAGCCTCACTTTAGAAACAAACCAGAAACAGCTTTTTTAAGTCTTGACTGCACAGAAACACTTTGAAGAAAGCAAAGTTTCTGATTGAAAAGCTTAAATCCAAGGTTTTTGGCCAAAACCAGACTTCGAATCTACAGTCAGTAATTAATCTTTGCAGTTTGCTCACGTGCTGTTAGACAGGTTCCTGGCTGGGAGCTGTGACATTCTCCACTGGTTAAAATTGCAGTGCTTCAGCAGCCTCTGAATAAACAGACTTTGACATAGCCAAATGTGGAAACAGGAGAGGGGAAGGAAGGCAGCAAGGTCCGTGTTGAGGAGGAAGTGTTAGTGTCTTAGCAGGGAAAGGTGGGAGGCAAACAGTCCTTGTCCCTAGCATGTGGCTAGTTCAGAAACTGTTATTCCTGGCAGTCTTGAATGATGAATTTTTATATTAGGCACATACACTGGGAGAAGGGTGCTGCGTGCTCCCAGCATCTCCAGCTTTTCTCTTGAATAACAGTTCTCTTACAGCCTAGATGTCTGCCTGAGTTGACACGATCCTGCCAAAGTAAGAATTCCTTTTGTGGATGATAACTCGGCTCTTGCTTCTACTAATGCTTCCGCTGTATTTTTCTAGGTTTTGTGATCATACCTGATCCTCTCCTTCATGAGCGGAATTTAATTATATTAATAAATCAATTAAAGGGGAATACTACAGCTTTGTGCTCAGAAGAATGAAATGTAGCCATTCCAAATCAGCCCTGCTAAACTCGTTCTCTTGAACTTTGATGTGAATGTTCGTAGCTGACTAACAATGAACTCTTGTGTTCATCTGGGGAATGACTGAGGCAGTCGTATGACTTGTTCTGCAAAGTCTGCTTTCTTCTGTAGACTTTGGGTTGGGATGTAAGAGAACAGATTACCAGGACCTTAAATTGGTATGTATGGGGTTTGGTTGTGTGTATGTGGGTCTTTCAGCCTTTTTACAGAAGGAAACTGTGTGGGTGATGGTTTCTGTATGTGGGTCTGAAAGCAAGCCAGCTGTTATGTTTGCCTTCCAAGTGTGTTTTCTCTTTTGAATGCGATGATCTCAGTAAGATGCGGTACTCTGATGCTGTAGAGTCAGCTGGCTGGATGTCGGAGATGAAGTCTGATGCTGTCTTGTGATACAGTAAATAACCCTTTGCCTATCACCAGTGAGCTCAGCTTACTGCCTTGATTAAGCGTTCACATCTTGTTTTGCTTTTCAGTAGTTGCAGTAGCAGTAGTTCAAGTCACTTTCGCTTTCCAATTATGCTGGGTTTAGATCTGATAGATCTCTGGAGCTGGGTAACTGACAGGCTTATGGCACAGAGAGAGGGAAAACCTGAGCAAGAAGCAATGGCTGAAGTAAAGCATGACCTATTTTGAACCAGTCCTCTGGTCCCTGGGATGAGCCAAGACTGTGATGAAGTTTGCAAGAGCTAGTTTACTCCAGCAAATGAAGAGTTAGGATGCAAGACTTTACCATATGTTTGCATAGCAGACATTTGTCACAAGTCCCTGTGCTGGGGAGTAGTGAGTCAGCAAAAGGTTCTTTGTGGAAGGGCCTGTGTGTAAACAGATCAGAACTCTGAAAGTTTTGTGTAAAATATTTACATGCTTTAGGAATCTGGGGATGTGTTCATGAAATTGATTGCATCTGTTTGGCAACACTTTGTTGTTGCTTTAATGTGAGCTGTCACACTTGCAGTGTTTTGATGTGCCATAGGAGTATTCATGAATCCTTCATTCCTTTATCTAGTGCCTCAAATACCTGAGCCATACTTGTAAAGAAACATTCTGAAACTAGAACTGTACCTGCTTTTTGGGGGTGGAAGGTTAAGAGAAAAGCAGGATTATACGTATTCATAAGACATACTAATGTGTTCTTAGCGGGAGTTCCATGAGTAAAGGTAAAAATCAATCCTTTTCTAAAATTTGTTTTCTTTTTGGGAAGCATCCTGCACTGAAGTTCAAGTATGGCTAAAACTATACTAAGTTTCAGAGTGAGTCCTCTTTGAGAGCAACTGGTTTCAGTTTCCACTTCAGTAGCAGCTTATTCGGTGCTATTCCAGGTAGTCTTACCAGCACTTTTCTTGGAAGTCTGTCCTGTAGAACTAGTGCTGCACTAGCATGCTTTGAAGTTAGCTAGCAAATTATATAGAACTGGTCTGTTTCTAAGCAAATACACCTCGAGGAAAATACTCAGTCTTTACATTTCTTCCTTTGTTCAAGACACAGAGAGGCAGGCCTGGCTCTTTATAAAACTTTTTAGTTCTCATTCTGTGTTAACAGATTTAATCAGCACTAGTTCAAACTAGACATCACAAAGGACTGGCTTATGCAAGAAGGCACTAGTAATAGGAACTGTATTGTGACAGCAAAATTGCAGCTGTATGAGCTTGTTAGAATAGACAAACTGTGTACATTTCAAACTCTGCACCAAGGTTTTGGTTTCCACTCTTTGCCTCAGATTTTTTTGGTAGGGATTTTTGTTTGGTATGAAAATCACAGAAGAAGGGACAGAGTTCTCACTTTGGATTCCCAGTGCTTTCTGTGACGGGTTTTCTGGAGTATAGTGTGTTACAATACAGTGCTTTGTAAGTTCTGTCTTTCAGGATACTATGTCCTGTTGGAGTAGCTGATCCTGGAAACTATCAGCCTCATATGAATAGAGGTAGTGTGAAACAAATGGCAGGTTTGATTTGCTTTGCTTTATTTTATTACAGACATCATCAGATGTTCACGTAAAAATGCTATAAATGTTTTACTATAGCAGTGTTTTTCTAATTCCTTCGTTATGTGTTAATTTCCAGCCAGGTATAGACTAGCCCCTACCTTCCTGCTCAAAATTTGCATTTCATTTCTGTGCTTTGTGGCAAATGGCCCATAAGAAATGACATTTTTGGGAGGATGGAATTTCTGTGGCAGTTGGACAAAGCCATTCATTTTGAAAACCAAACCCTCCTTTCTGAGTCGTCAGAGACGTTGGTGAGGCGGTGTCACGGGCAGCTCTCCCGTGCTCAGCTTGCTGCAGAGCAGGGTTGGTACACAGTGTTCTGACATTCCAGCAGAGTCTGCCTTCAGATCCCTTCACAGTTGCTCTGTGAAAGAGGAGGTACACCTCTTTCAGGTACACCTCTGAAGTCTGTGTGTTTTGGGCAGTCATTCCTAACACTGAAGTTGAGTGCTTGAAAATAAAATTCAGCTAAATCACACTGCGGTGTTGTGAAGTCTGTCTTTTTTCTCTCAGTCCAGGAAAAGTCGGATCTAAGGTATGCTGTCTTTTAATTTACTGTTCTAACATTGAAAGCATCCATGTTACTGAGGTGTCTGCATTTGTTCTATGCTTTGCTTGCTGTATGTTGGGTTTAGTGTTTATTTGCAGCTGAAATAGCATGTTGCTGAGATAATTTATTAGCTGGGCATAGAGTGGTGTGATCCTTTCCTACCCTACAGAAGTGCCACTGTTGTTGTGCATTAATTTAAATTAAAAGCTTCCAGTACCAAACAAAGCAAGTATTTTGTGTATTGTACTAAGATGTCTTCAGGATGGACAGAGGCCTTGGTTACAGGCTGTGCTGGTGTAGTTCAAGACTTCAGCCTTTAAAAGAGAAAAAAGGGGATTAAAAAAAGAGGAGTGGTTTAGTGCTTGTTACTGGTATCTCATCTACCTAAGGAAAACTGAGGGTACAGAATGGAGTGGGACTGGTGTTTGTTACACCCAGATAAGCTTTTTGGTTTTTTGTAATAGACTTGTGAAGTCTCTGCCAGTAGTACACAATGAAGAAGTTAACTTTTAAACCATTCTCTTGTGCTTAACAGGATTTCAGATAACATGGAAAGGCAATAGGAGTATTTGCAAATAATTTGTTACTTTCCTTTAACAAAAGAAAGAGAAGTCTGATTGCTAAAATAACTCGCTTCTACTATTTAAACTCACAATGTGGTGTTCACAGCACCAAATGTTACAGTAGCATTTACAGGAATGTTATAGGAAGCTGTTGGAAGTAGCATTCAATTAAACCAAAAGTGAAACTAGTTACCAGACCGCAGATATGTTTTTAAAAGTGGATTGTTGCAGTGACCTAGATACACTGACAGAGAACCACCAAGACTTCAGTCTGAGGATACAGCTGTGTCTATAGCTGTAAGGGTAATGATGGAGTGATTGTTCACTTCTGTGAGACAAGGGTAGATAGCTTCCATCAGAATTAGTAAATCTGAAGTTTGACTGGAATAGCATTCTCTTTAGAGATGGAAGCAAGGCTGATCTAAAGTGTCATTGTCCAACGGTGCGAGTGCAAGCCCAGCTTTATTGATAGCTATTTGCTGTTGTGCAAATAGCTCCTGACAAGGGTAAGGTAGGAGGCCTGTCCAGTTGGACTTTGGGAACTCAGCTGGCCTCACACTGGGTTCACCTGAGCACTCAATGCCACTTTTTGCATAAAGCCCAGAGGAAAGCTTAGAATGCTGCTGGTGGCACCAGTGACGGGGATCGAATAGGTGACAGCCACTCCATAGTTGGAAGATGAGGAGCTGAACCCAGTATGATTTGCCATCTGTCTCTTTCTCAGCTCAGGCACCACCATGAAAGGTACAGAAAACACTGTATTACAAGCTGTGCCTTACTCAGGATGTCAAAAAAATGATCTTCCAATATTTCCTCATGCTCAGACTGGATTTCATTGTACACAGGTATCTGCATCATTTTGGTGTGATATTTACTCCATTACATAAATATTTGTGTCAGTTCATAAAATGATTTAGTATTCAGCTGATGCAACTTCAGAAAATCAAGGTGATACTTTGCTGAAAAATACTGGTTTCTCTGAGTCTGGTTTAATAGACTTGCTTGAAGCATTGAAATGCTTCTCAAGTTTTGTTTTTTTTATGCTTTTCCTTCTGCTTATTACATGAATCCTACACTTTTTGTGTTAATGAAAAATTTTAAAACTAGGCTGGAAGTTCCTTCTGTAATCTTGCAGATGTTTTTGTGTTGGGAACCTGAAGAAAGACACAATGGGAAAGAAACAACTTTTGCAAAAGGGATAAAGCTGAAACGCCATCTCTAAAAATGGTGGTGGAGTACCAAGGTAGATGTACTAATTCATATCAGAGTCCTGCTCATTGACCATGTCTTGTGAATGAGAAATAAAGCATAGCAAAATGATGCATAATGGCAATTTGCTGCTTACATTTTGGGAAAACCTATCGCTCAGTTGGTCAATTACATTGTTCAATAAACCTATTATCTGAAAGCAGCACCAATCTGCCTGCAGTGTTTCGTGTTAAACTGGGAAGAGAATGTGTGATTCTGAGAAAACAAAACAACATCCTCCCTTTACATTCAATTTACTTCAAGTGGGTTTTAGGGAGGTGTACCTCATCACCTTGACTTTTATTACTGACAAAATAGAGGTATCTCTTAAAGTTGCTTTGTGTTAAGAAAAACAAACAACCACCTGCTTATTTTAAGCAAGGTTTTTTTTTTTCTCCTGTATTGTTGAGTATGTCAGGATTGTGCCAGCTTTATATAAGGGTAGTAGAATAATTTTTAAAATATTTTTTCATTCTCATGTTGATACTGTGAAACTGTTTTTGTGCTTAAGGGTGTGGTGAGGTTGCAGTATTTCCTGCCAACAGCCCTCAAGGAATGACTAGTGTAGAGGTGACAGGCTGTAGAGATTGGTAGGGCAATCTCCAGACTCTTGAGTGTGTATGTGTCCAACCCATAACTGTTGACAAAAATGTTGTATTATAACTTTTTTCCTCAAGCCCATAATATTGATTTAACTGCTTTAAAACCAGTTTATTTGGTTATGAATGAACATCCCTGCAGTTGCAAGCAACAAACTTAAGTGGGCTTTCTTTATTCCTTAGCTTCTGGCTAGCATTGTGTTGCTTACGGAACAGATGAAAAGCTTTGGGTTTTTATTACCTACTGGTGTATAACTGCTGTACTAGTAAGTGTCTGAAAACTGGGAGGTCTGGGAGCACACAGAAAAGTGAACCTTACTGTAAAGCTGGAAATCGATTTTACAAAAAGGGAATTTATTTGTAGTATAGCTTCTTCAGTTCTGAATAGCTCTGCATTGTAAGACAGAGGAACCTTAAAGTCAAGGAAGCAGGCGTGGTCTTAGGCCTGTATGTGTTGCTGCTTCTTTAGTCACACAGTTGTGACTAAAGGATGCTAAAAGGGTCCATCTGGGTTCTTAGATTGTTTTTATTTTCCTTCAATTTGCTGTAAGTTTCAGATAAAGATTTAAATTGCTCCAATCACTTACCAAACCAAAGCATTAGCTCATAATGGCATCTAATTCAATCCTGCAAAAACAGTATTATTGCAAATAATATATTCATAACTGGTTTTGCTTTGCTGTTTAATGAAAAGTACAGTTTTATTTTCAGTCCTCTATCCTCCCTTTATCAGGAGAATAAAATACTGGTGCTGTTTCTGTAAGCGAGTGGTTCCATAACTATTTGACATCATACCAAATGTATTTAGCAGAAACTGCCTAATAACAGATCTTTTGCAGTGGCATGTCTGATTTGTATGAAACATTGCAATAATTGGCTTCATTGGTACTGTCAGAGTGAACTTTAAATGAAAGTGACAGTAACTAGTCCAGACTTTTTTCATTTTGTTCAGAGTAAAACTATTAGACAGTAAGTGACTTACTGGTTTTTCTGCTTTTAATTAGCAACCCAATTTTATACTCTTTTAATTATCATTTAATTGGATTCCCCCCTTACACTCCGAGCCTGGCAGCCAAAACAGCTGATTTAGTATTTGGCACAACTGAGGGGTGAAAATTTCTTCTATAAATCTTTCTCTAGAGGATATGTTTCCACCAGCATAGAGGCTCTTTTCTGGAAGTGGCAAATCTCTTTTAATATCTCCTTCCTAGTCTCTTGTGTGCCTAGCTCTGAATCCACTATTTGAGAAGTGGTTATAACAGAGGGGGCTGAAGCCTCCAAAGTAAAGCTTTAATGTAAACTGTAACCAGAGAGGACATACGAACAGTTCTTAAATTAGATTCAAAAAGGTAATGTTGGTATATGTGTAAGTTGTCCCTGTAACTGTTCCAAGAGATTAATTGTCATGTCCTTGCATGTTCTTAGGGGAGGGGGAATTAGTGTTGTAAACTGACCTTTGAGGGTAAACTAGAGGACAAGGCAGGGGTTGGGGATGCTTTTAAAAAGGGACTGGAAGGGAGAAAGGGAGAAACTCAAAGGTTTAGGGACTGAAAGAGAGGCAGCACACTGAAGCTTTGCTGGGCTGGGACAAGTGGCCAGTTACAGCCCTCTCCCCTCTGCTGGCAGACAGAGATGCTGGGAAGTACCAGCCAAAAAAAAAAAAAAAGGAAAAAAAAGAGGAAGGACATATTGCTTATCCATCAGTAGTACTGAACTCAAAACATGGATAACATCATCTACGCTGCAGCCCATTGCATGTGTGGGTTTTCAAAATGTCCACCATCTGGTGGCTGGGCTTCTCTCTTTGTTAACTTCTGGCTCCTCAGTAAACTGTTCAGGGAGTTCAGAGTGGGGGCTGTTAATATCAATGTTAAGTCAGTTACCAGAGGAATCTCTTTTTTAGCCTCCTCCTGTAATCTTCAGGGTTAAATGTTTTCAGCTCATAGTTCAGTTGCAGTTATTTGTAGCTGGCATTCACATTTGCTCTGTAATTCAATTTAGATGATGCTGCTTGGCCTAAATTGGAGCAGACTAGTAGGAGCTTGGTGCGTTTAGGAACCGATCACTGACTCTGTAGTTAAGGTCATCCAAGTAGAGCTATAAATATTTCCCCTCAGTTTTAAGGTGTAGTTATCTGGCTTGAATTCACTTATGGAATTGTGATTGATACTGTCAGATCTTATGTGTCAGTTTTTTCAGCTACTAAAAATGCTGACTAACAAACTTATTGTCATCACACAAGTACTGTAATAGTCTCATTAATCCATGTGGTTTCAGTTCCAGCTGTTTGCTAGTTATTTATTCATTAGAGTCTATTTTCTGAATAGCTTCTAGCTACACATTCTTCAGAGAGATGAGATTTTATTCATACATGTATCTACTTATAGGTGAGGAATTTGAAACTGGAGCATGAGCAGGAGAAAAATAAGATCTTGTCGGAAGCACTAGAGACACTCGCTACTGAGCACCATGAACTAGAGCAGTCTCTGGTTAAGGGATCTCCACCTCTCAGCATCCTCAGTGAAGAGCAGTTCTATGATGCTGTTTCAGGTAAGTGGTGATGTCCAGAATGTGAGTGTGTAGACAGCACGTGTGCAGTGAATGCCTTGGGGGCAGGTGGGGTGGGGGAAGAAGGTGGGAGCAGTCTCACTTCAAGTGGAATCTCTGCCTTCCTAACATGGACTTAATTGTAGGGGTATGCTTGATGTGTTTCATGAGCAGGGCTCTAAAAATTTGCCAGAGATCACCTGCAGAATTGTATTGCTTCATCTTAGCTGTGACCAAAGGTTAGAAAACCTTTGGTTAGAAATGAAAGGTCTGATTGCTTGGGAGTCTACACCCTTTTTTTAAATAGCAAAACATAAGTCTCCTATTTTGGGAGTGGTAATTGTATCTTGTAGCCTTCCGACTTGCTTTGTCCGTGGTGGTGTCTGCTTTTTCCTTTGTTCTGTTGTTAAGATCAGACTATAAAAATCCTTAGTTTTGAGGGATAATGATGTTAAGAAAGGCTTGTTCCGTTTCAATTTTGTATACCTGAAGTGTTAAACATGAAAGAAGAGGATGAATCAAAATCCTGCCTGCATTTCTTAAATGTCTTTTCTTTCCCTATCTGTTGCTCAGTTTAGTATCTTTCGTAATTTCATATGCAGAACATGCCAATAGTGATTTTGGAAGATTCTGAACTGCCTGAAATGAATTCAACATGCATTTGTATAGAGAGGCTGTACTTAGTGCAGCTCAAGACTGGCTCTGACTGGGTGATCCAGCAGCACACACCTGTCTACAGCTATGAAGGATTTGAAAAGCTTGAGGGTGAACATAATCTAACTGTAGCAGACAATTGGGTTGCGATGGCAGACTTCACTAGCAAGTATGGGGTTACTTTTTCTGTGAACTGAACTGTCTGATGCTTCTGACAGATGAGAAAAGCTGTGTTCCCAGACTCCTTGATAGGTGTTCTGCAGTGAGAAACTTAAGCTGTGAAAAAAGAGGCAAAGGAAGTGTATACACAGGAGCACAGTGAATCAACTTTGTGAAGCAGATTTAGCTGTTTATCAAGTAGGAGAAGAGACTGAGGAACACCAAAACAGGTTCTTCCTCTGGAACCCAAGGAACAATTCTGCTAAAAGGCCTCAGGCTCTTTTGATTGTCAACCAAGCAGAGAATAGTTCTTTATCTGATGCTGTTGGAATGTAGTCTCTCCAGCTGGGCTTGCTTTGTGCGTATGAGAGAATATTAAGCTTTAAAGAGCTGCTAGTCAATACATCTCATAACTGACCCTATCTCTTAATACTGTTGAATGAAACTGTCCAAAGTCACCTCTCCTGTTGTCAGAGGTGATAGTTTTGTCCTTTCAAGCTACAAACAAATCATATCAAGTGGATCTGTAAAATTGTGAAACTTGCTGAATGCATATATATAAAAACATACTTTAAAAAACCCAAACATGATTTCTTGCTTCTTTGGGAGAAGTTACTTGACATAATTCATCTTAATTGCATTTTAAATAATTTTCTGGGACAGACTTACTGTCTTGGCTGTCCATCAGTTTAATCAGACTGGTGTTAGATTCTCTTCTCTAGGTTGTTCACATTTAGAGTTTATCAGAGATTAAGGTCCTTTCTGTCTCTGAATGGGGTGGGGATGGAGAGGTGGCTAGAAAAATGGAAATGTGATGTATTTTCCTGACTGCTGAATACACATTACCACCTTCACTTTAAGCATAAAAGGAATTATTTTTTGTTGGTACAGTTTGAGGAGAGATGTTTTTTTGTTTCTGGAAATCTGAATTGTTGCAACTGTCTGCAAAGCTTTTGCTTAACCTGATTTGCAAACTGATAGCATTAAATTATATTTATTTTGTACAAATAGCCATATTCATTATCTTTCTAGGTTGTATAGGAAATTGAGCAAACAAATGTATTTTAACAGGGTGATATATCAAATTACAATGTCTGTCAGTGCGAAAATGCCGCTACTTAGAGTATTTTTTCTATCAGAATGCCATCTTTTTCTGCTTGCAGTTCTATGAATTTTTAAATCCTCGCTGTAGGAGTGAGTTTAGAAGTGAGAGTGTTGCATAAGTAGGCTTGCAGTTTGAGCTGAAGAATTGTTAGTTTTGACTTGACAGGTTGAAAGAAGATGCCACTACTGCTTTTTGTTTGTTTTTTTACAAGAATTTTGTCTGTATAAAAGACATTTTTTGTTTACTCTCAACAGAGGTATCACTTATGATACCATTCAGAGCAATTTTCAAGCAGGTTTTTGAGGAAGAGGTGTATCAAAAAGGATGTATTCACTGCAGCAACTGCTTGTCCCCATTTGCCGTGCTCTGGTTCACATTGTTGAACAATCCAATTGCTTCTGAATGAAGCTGAACAGGAGATACAGTCCAGTTCCTATTGGACACTCAGTCCATGGCAGCAGAGTAAGAGTAGATCTGAACAGAACAGCACTAGAAATATATCTGGTTTGATTGTCAAGTCCTCAGCACCATCTGTTCCTCTTGCAAATCTGCTCCAGCCTGAGCCATGCTACCTGCTAGTGTTGGCATAGGCTGAATTGTTCACTGTTAAAATCTGTGGCGTGTGGTTCTGTTTGTAGAAATTGTGGCCAGAGTTACAGAAATATCCTCTTCCTTTTCCAAAACTGGAGTGAGGAAAATGTTTGTTTGCAATGTGGTAAGACTTACTGAAGCTGGAGCTTATTTTCCAAGGTCTCCTTTCTTTTTAAGTGATATGCTGTTGTCAGTACTTTTTGACTGTTGCAATCATTCCTAAATCCCTGCAATGAGAGAGAAATTAAAGGAAGAACCTCCTGAAAATGCAAGTTATTTTTCTTACCAAAGCATGGTATCCAGTGTTAAGAAGAGCAAAGTAAAGGGTGTTATTAATCTGAACTCTGATAGCCGTAGGTCAGTTAACAGCGCTTCCCGGTGCGCTGATCCGCTCATCATGGGAGCGGTGGAAATGTGTAATTAAACTCGACACCACACAGAGTGCTGCAGCTCTCACTTTCAGGATTGAATGCTTAACATGTGTCAAACTCTTCTATGTTTAAAGCAGGGTGGGGTGGAACGGGAGGGCTCTGGGAAAGGGAAGAAGCACTGAACAAGTAGCAAAATTCAAACGGACCATCTCCTAGAGAGCTGAAGAAGTTATTAGCTTTGATTAATACAGACCTGAGGAGCATATGAAGATGGAATAGGAGTGCAGAGGACATCCACGGTGCTGAAAAATGGCTAAGCAGGTCAAGAATTAAAGGGTAAAAGTACTTGATTTTTGCCTTTCAGACATGATTCCTTTCTCGTATGCAAATTGTGCACCCAGTTTGGGAAAAGTTTAGATTTTCCTTTGTTCTTCTCTTTTAAACAGGTTTTATCTGAGAGGTGGGGGTTTTTCTGCAAACAGGATTTTTGTATGTGTTGAGAGGGTTATTGATGGCTTTCTGTAGATGCAGTCTTGCAATAAAAGCAGTTATTTAGCTACAGGAATATTTAAGTACACTGAAGCTAACCTGTCATAGTACAGCTTCTGCTGGTATCTACCGCTACTGCATGTTCTGTTTATAAATAACTCTCCTAAATGGTACAAGAAGTAGCAGACTACATCCATTGCTTTTGCTTGTTTCCTAGTTTGTCTCCAGTAATCAGATCATTTAAAAGTAAAAATGGTGCAGAAAGCATTAAAACCTCTTGCCCTTCCTTCCATGTTTAGAATAGTTTGTCAAGTGGCTTTTCTTGAACGTGTACCAAAAATACTTCACAGCCTCTGTGAGAACACTGCTGCCTGTCACTTCTTGCCTTGAATAGAGTTTAAAGAATGAATTCAGGCATCTCAGAGGGATGGGAAACACCTAGTCAGAACTGAGACCAAACAGTGACAATGGTTAAACACTGATGTTTCTCAGGTTTATTTATTAAAAAAAAACCTTGGCCAAACTTTTCTATCTGCATCTGAAGACTTACCAGTTGCAGCAATAGGAAATGAGGTCCCTTGAGTTAAGTTTCTGTCATTGCTTCTGCTGTTTCCCGGTCCTCTCTCACTCTTGCAAAATGTAGCTGGTGTTTGTACTGTTACTCTTTCAGGTTTCATGAGCTGGAGAGCTTCCTAGTCAGCCTGGTCTTGTCTAAGGGATCACTTTAAAATTTTGGCTTCTGAACAGGGACTCTTATTCCTTCTCCCCCCTCCTCAGCCCACAACTCCTTAAGTTCAATTAAAAAAAACCTAGTCATTTTCTCCTAGTCATCTGTTTGACAGCTGCTCTGTAGAAACTTGTGAATATAAATCTTTTTTTGCAGTGACGGGGGAGTATGCAAATCTTAATTCAGAAAAGAGTTCGCTGCAAGTGCACAGGGAAAAGCTTGCTTTGAGTTGCCTGTTGATCTGTGCTCACAATACAATACTAGGCTTGTTCACTCTGACACCCTAACAAACTCTCAAGGCTTGCTAAGTTCCGGGTTAAAGGAGGTAGCTGAGGTTAAGGGATTGGAGACTGGGATCTTTGATGGCAGGAGCTGCTGTAGATGTACTTTCTCTGTTTCTCAGGGAACTGGGTGAGGTTTCTCTAGGGAGAAATTCCTTATAACAGTTGTGTTTCATTCTTCTACTGTTTCTTCTTGTATAGCATGGTCTTCTTGCATGAGGTAAGGCATGTGCCCTGGGGAAGGTTATCTGGGAGGTGTCTACAGCTCTGGGGAGGTTTGAAGGTGTGGAGCTCAGTCCAGCAGAATCATCTATAAGAAGAGCATGAGGAGAACCGAACGTGTGCGGTATTTAAAAATCTTTGTTAGACCAAGAAGCATATCCAAGAGTGACAGGCAGTTCTGCTGCAGCTTATCTGCTCTTGCCTTTCTGCTCTGGAGTCCTGGGTCTCCAGAAGCTGAGATTGAAGGAATTTGCATGCTATGACTCCTGTCTGAAAGCAAGATGGTCCTGGATGGTACAAGAGATGAAAGGACCCTACAGGATCCAGACTTTCTTTTATGTTATTGGGTTGGCTTCATGCTTTTTTGTCATGACAACTGTTGGCACAGTTGAGCAGCTCTTTCAAAAGAGGTGGAATACATATCTTGAGGGGATTTATAGCTTGTTGTGTGGTCAGGAAGCTGAGGCCCAAGTTGTGTTACATTCCTAGTGTCTTTTCTTCTGCAGTGTTTGGATATGCAGGAAAACTGTATTTTCCTGGCTACCTGGGTTTAGGATCTCTGGACAAATCTGTATTTTATATAACAAACTTGTCCCAAGTAAAAATGTGTTTCCTTACCCTACTTGTTAAATATAGTACCCACCAAACTAATGCTTTGATATGTTATATCATAACTTGGCACAGAACTAGACTGACAAATTTGGGGAAAATTGTGAGAAGATTCTCTGGAGTGCCAGTCCACTTCTTTAACATATCCTCAGCACCAGCTGGCAGTTCCTTTCATTCCCTAGCAACTGGCTTAATTTCAGTACTGTCTTGATGAAGATAGGCATGGATGTTTTAAATAGTAGGAAAGATCTCCTTTATGCTTCTAGATCTCTCTCTCTAGAAAGGATGGAGACATTGTGACACAGCCCATCCATTTATCAGGATTCTGTCCTGTTCCTGACCCTTATGTAATCTGGATGTGGTAGAAAGTCCTCCTATTACTGTATGTATATGTGTGTGTGTGTATATATATATATATATATATATATATCCCTCAGCAAAGCAATATACAATTTGCATGTTCTGTAGAAGCTACTGGCGCAGCTTTTTTAAGACAGAACAAGAAAGCACCTGGCAGTAGACAGCTGTGAGTGAGATATTCTTTTGGACTGGCTGCTACTTCAGCAGATTTTGATTACTGGTTTTGAATTAGAATGAGTGTGTGAGAGAATGGCTGATTTTTCAATTATTTCTCTGGGATTTTGCAGCCAAGAGCAACAGCATATGCTGGAAGCAGTAGTACATGGCAGGAATTATGTCTTCTGTAGATCAGTTCTACATTTTTCAGAAGCAGTGAGACTTAAGCTGTTTACCATTCAGTGTGGTACCTGGTTTCTGGTAAAGAATTTTTCAAATGAGATAGAAGTTGATGTCTTGAGTTGTTCCTTCACTTCCTGGAACTTGCAATTGGATAATCCTTTGACAATCGTGTCAGGTTTGAAAGAAGACCTAACACAAAAATACAGCCTTTGCCAGGAAATTTGTACCTTCTGATCTGGAAGAACGCTGTCTCTTCTCCAGAGGTAGACAAGCAGTACCTGACTAAAACACTGGTTGGAAAGAAGGTGGTGGTGGTGTTAGTGTTTGGTTTAGTTGAGATGTGATATGGATTGTACTCTTAACCTGCCTTCCACAGTACGAAGTTTATCTTGTTGATTGGTGAGCTTATCACTTAGACTTTACTGGCACCTACGTAGTTTGCGTTTTCTATATGATACATCTCCTGTTCTTTGATACTTGTTCAGCGAGTTGGGAAGTGAAGGTTGGTGAACAGCACTGAGAGTCTTGAGAACTTAGAGCTAACTGAAGAAAGAGTCATTGCTCAAGGTACCTGTTTGTTCGGTAGGGTTCTGGCATCTGTATGGCACTGGCACTTGTCCCAAGCAAGGTCTAGTAGCTTCAGTTTAATAAATATGGCAGATTTTAGCTCAGTTTGATAGGGGACTTTTAATGTATTGTGGTCTTGCTTATTGTGCAATTTCTTTATGTCTAGATGCTGGGCTGCAGCGGTCTCTGGCAGTACTAGTTACTTACCAAATGGATGCTGTCATCAGGACACAGTAGGCGACTTAGGTTTCAGTTTTGTACAAGGCGGGGAGATCTGTTAGTGACTGAAGTCTAGCACAGGCGGTAGATTCATTAACATGCACCTGCTCTTTTGCAGATTCGGAATCTGAAAAATCATTAAGTGGGTTTGAAACAACAGCAGCCTACTCATTAGAGGACAGCATGGATTCAAAAGATACAATAACTTCAAGCATGTCTGAAGAAAAAGTGTGTGGCAGTGGGGAGTCGCTGTCAAACGGAATCAAAAAACACAGGTAGGATGTTGTCCGTTCTTACAGTTTTATAATGTGCATTAATGGTAAGAGACCACAGGAATCTCTGAAAAGCTAACAGAAAACTTTTAAAACTTTGCTAGGGATGATTGGCAAGTAATAGGTTGTGCTATGATTTTATAAAGACTGTTTTTCCAAGGCTGGTGTGCTCCTTTGCATCTTGATGATCCAATCTAAATAAGTAAAAACGAAATATAATGTGCTGCTTAAAAATGGACACACTTGTTTTTTTATTAGATCTTATTGAAATCTATGTGGATTTTAATTCCTTCATTTATCTTTAATGACCTGTACCTCCTATTGCCTCTTTAATTTCGAGTTATTTGATCCTTCTGTTGGTATCAGGAATGAATGAAAAATATTGCTAGCCTGGCATCAGAAACTCAAATGTGAACAAAGGGAGTCTTATTCTAAAAGTCTCATCCATGTTTTATGTGCTTATTTTGTGTTGTCAAATGATCCATTTTTGTTTGTTTCCTTGCTGATAAAGGAGGACAATAGGTCTGGAGTTAATGAGATGTAACAGACACCACTATTCTCCAGTTTCAGTGAAAGGGCAATATAACATTTGTGCTACAGATAAAGCCAGACTTCAGCATGTTTCAAAGAGATTATTCTGGAAGTGTTTTGGACATACAGGATGATGAGGATACCACATTTCTGTAAAAACAGGGAAATGATATTTAATTTTACAGCAGGAAGCTAGACAGGCTTTAACTACTTGGTATCTTAAATAGTTAAATTGCAGTAACTGTTGAAGTGAGTTGGTAGCATCAGACCTGATGTTTCAAGGGTCAGCCTGTGCAAGTCTCGTACTACGCAAAGACTGAAGCAAATGAGGGCTTGGGTGGAGCACTGGGTGTTTTGGGGAGATAACATAAAGCAGCTGACTAAGCGTGTTGCTTTGCTGTTGTGCTGCTAGCAAGATGGTATTTATGGCCTTGGCTAAGTGCCTTCCCTAATTAGAGCAGGAAGTTCAGGAGTGGGGGGAGGAAGCAGTAGGTGAAGGTGGGACATCTGAATTGCCTTCACTGCCTTGGAAACAGTAAGGAGAGAGGATGCAGTACATAATCAACATGAAAATGATGGTGCATGTTGACTTGCATTGTATCGAAGAGTTTTAACAGGAATTACTCTTCCATTTGCTATAAAAAAGGACTTGTTGCAATGTTGCACGATGCTGTCAGACCTGCAGGGAGTAAGTGACTGGAGAAGCACTTCAGAGCTCCTGAATTTTATAAAGAATAATGAAAAGTAATAAACATGTACATCTGCCTTAGTTGTTTCTCTGAGCTGCCTCTTCTAGGAGTAAAGAGAGCATAGGATGTTGGAGTAAAATGGGTGCATAAGTTCCTAATAATTTACTGCTAAAGAAAAGTGGAACCTTTTCTGAATCTGTTTTGCATTTAGATAAGAATGTATGGCCATATTTTACATAACTAAATAGCTGTAGAATATATTGTTGTATTTTATGGGATTAAATTACCCTAACAACATTATAGGTTGAGCTGTAATGTTAAGCTTTTTTACCTGGCACTTTGGTGTCGCACTGGGAGTTGTCCCCAAATATATTGATGCAAACTGTTTCTCCCCAGAAGCTCAGACAATTTAAGCTTTACCTCCAAGAGAACCTTCTCAGGGGATGGGAGATGTGTGGTATTTTTAGCCATTTTTCTGAGGCTGTTGGTAGTAGCCACGTTTGGTGCAGCATCTGTTTCATGTGACTTCAGAACTGTGTTACCTTCCTGGAGCTGCCAGCTCCAATTTGTGCCTGTTTTGTCTGGGGGCTGGTTCTAACTTGTGTGCATGTGGTCAAACAGGCACTGCCTGTGATACCACCTGTGTCCTTTTCAGAGAAAAAACTGTAATTTCTTGGTGTTATGCGAAGTTAGGGGTTCAAAATGTTTTGACATCACTTAATTCCATCCTTACACCCTTGAATTTGCTTATAGTTGTTTTGTTTTTTTTAACTTCCATTTGTGTTAACCACATGGAAACAAGTCACTTAGACCAGATTAATTTTTTTTGCCTAAAATCTTGGTACCTTCAGATGAGTAGAGGAACTGCAGTTTGCCTTTAGGTTGCACATGAGATTACCTAACACTGTTTAGCCATCATTTGAATAAGATTATTTTCTGTCCTCATGTAGACAACCTGAGCTCTAAACTGCACCTCAAATATTATTTGAGTGGTTGAAAGTATTCCACACAGAAGTGGAGGTTGGTTTTTGCTTGGCAGGGGGAGCATAAATTGTTTGGGGTTTGGAAATGTAGGAATAAAGCTGTTGGTTCCAAGGAATCAAAAGTCTTGGGAAGTACATATACAGATAGATGAAGCCAGTACCACATATAATCTGATGGTTTATTCTGGGGTTTTTTTTCTATTTTTTTTTAATGTAGCTTGCATCCTGCAGATTCTTCACAGAGTGTTTTGATTTTTGTTACACTCCTTGGGAGAGGCTTTGAGAGATGGAGTAAAATAGTAAATAATCAGGAAGTAAATAACAGTAAATGATCAGGAAGAATTAAATCACTTTTTTTTTAAGAGGGAATTTTTTTCATATCAGTCAAGCTTAAAAAAAAAGGAAAAAAGAAAAAAAAAGCCCCACCCGTCAAAAAAGTCTAATCAACCCCCCAAAAACTCCATTGCATAAAAATGTTCTGTATTAAGTGCCAGCATTTTACATCCACTTGTCACTGCTGTTTCCTCTGTACTGCTGAGTTTGTTGTCAGCTTTCTCTCTGGTCCCTGCATTGGGGGCCTTTCAGAATGCAAACATGTTGGTGTTCAGCTTCATGGGAGCCAGGAGACTGTTCAGGTTGGCATGAAGAGCAAGCTGAACATGCCTTTTTCACTCCATATGTCTCCTTCCCCACAAGATGCCTGTAGCAGTTGATGTGTAATAGCTAATGCTTTGTACAAGTGTTTTTGTTTAAGTGAAGGATCTTAAACACATCTCATCTGTTCTACTGCACAGAAATTCCAGCAGATGTTTTTGTTACTTAAAGCTAAAATTAACTTCCTGAGTTGTTTTCTAAATTGACATCTGGAAGGAAAATTTTGCATTCAAAAACCTTTTGTTTAATCACAAAGTATGAGTATGTCAAGGCTATTAGGCCTCAAGTCTTGACAGCCTGTCATGTCCACATGTCCTTATGTGTCCCTGGGATCTTCCTTGGTGGCTTAAAACCGCTTTGTTTTTTCAGTACATGCATGTCAGAGGGAGGAGAGAACTGACTCCCATAGCAGTTTGACTGATACAGGCAACAAATGCAGATGAGTGGCTGAAACCTAACGCCAGCTTTCGAGTGATTAAACAAATTGAACAAAAGGGCAGATTAATGAAAAGTTTTAGTATGTAAGGAGAGCAATTCCTGTGTATACTTCAGCAAACTAAGGGTTAATGTGATTAGCATGCAGAAGGGCTTACTTAAGCACAAATATCCACTCTGCCTGCATTAAAGGATACGTGGGTTGAGGGGGGGAACAAGTTAACATTACAAGTGAAGATAACACTGAATAGTTGGTGGACACTGTCCTCTCCTGGACATTTGCATCAAAACATCCATAGAAATATTTTATACTTAATATTATTCAGGCTGATCTGTTTCACAGAACATTTTTGTCTCAGTGAAAAGTCAAAATAGGGAGTGAATTGTGGTATGTTGGTCAATTAAAATAAGTCCTCCTACCCACTCATCCTCTGCAGGGGAGCTGAGTAAAACAAGTCAGTGTTGGGCTTGTAGCTACTTGATAACACAATAGTTTGCTACCATGAGATCAGACATATAATCGGGTTTTTGATGGGATGGGGCTGGTTTGATTTTAAGGAACATTCTGAAAACTGAAGCATCAGCCCTGGTAAAGGTATTCCAGTGGCAAGTAAGTAGGGGAGGTAGCACAGCAAGTAAGGCTACTGAAACAAACAATTTAGCCTGAGTATTTTTTCTCTAGGCAGTGTTTCTGTTTATCAGAAAGGTGGGGTGGAGAAAGAAGGTGCAGCCTATTCACACTCTCTGAAAAAGACTGCAGTAGTTACCTTGAGCAGAGACAAGATAACCTTGGTTAGGAGGGCAGCACAATAATTTAGAGTTGACTTAACTTTGAAACTTTATTAGTTCATGGAGTTTGAGTGAGCTTTAGGTACTTTTTATCTAATAATAAGAGCAGAAAATTTGTGAATTTTGCTCATTGGCAATAGCTTCATGATCCAAAAATGGATTTGTGTTGCGGACAAAGGGCTTTGACCAATATTTATGCCTTTCTAGAAGTAAATTGGATTAACAACTGAGCTGGTCAGTAGCAGTAAGAAAACTGAACAAACTCTGTGCTTGATTTCCCATAAGGCTGGGAAATGCAAGCTGTGTTCTCAGCTTAAATGCTGGTCCTTGAAAGTATGCTTATGACTTGTTTTGGGATATGTCAGCCCCTGTAGAACAGGCTGCTCTGTTTGCTCTTCTTTAATGGTGCTGCTTTTTTCTATTGTTCCTCAGGGCTGGTTTTAATATAGATCATAAATGTTGTGGCCCTTCATGGTCAGTATAAAGGTGATTAGCAGAAAAACCCCAGAACAGCCCCACTGTTTAACCCTCAGATCTGTTCAGACATAGTGAATGTACTTATGTACCTATTCAGTTAACTTCCATTTTCTCACAAAGACACAGCTAAACATCTTAAGGTGCCATTGTGAAAACTATTCTGATGAGTGCTGTAGACATTCTCTTCCTCTGGTATAATGCAAAATTAATGGTTCTGGTTTTGGAAAAATTGATGTTTCTACACAGGTAAAACAGTTTAAGTGCTTCAAAGTAGCACTGTCATTCCCCCTGCCTTTTTAATTTAAAAAGGGGAAACTGTTACTTTCATAAATGAGCATATGCATTTCTTAGTCATGGTTAGTTTTGGAATATTTTTCTTACTTCTGCTTTTTTTCCCCCCTTCTTCCTTTCCACAGAACAAGCTTACCATCTCCAATGTTTTCCAGAAATGACTTCAGTATCTGGAGTATCTTAAGAAAATGCATTGGCATGGTAGGTAATCAGAAAGCTATAATAAAAAATGGGGAGTGTTAGTTTTATTTGAGGCCCAAATTAAAACTTGTTTGGGAGAAGAGGTCTTTTGTACGTGCTTTTTCATTTGTTTATGGGGTTTGTTTGCTTTAGTTTATTTAGTTTATTTTTAATTTGCTGCTTATGCTTTATTTGCTTGCACAAGTTAAGAAGGTAAGACTTGGTCAGCGCAATATTCTTTCAGTAAAAGCAACTTCTCTTGACTTGAACCCTTTAAGTACTTCGTGGGTTGTTCTTTTTTCATTTATTTTGACTGTGGAAAAAACAAATTAATCCCAGGAAAACAACGACTTCATTTTGCTTTTGTGCCTTCCTCTTAGCAACTGAGTATTCCCCCTTCCACATGGTGTTACTGACCAGTAGGTGGCCAGATCAGAGTCAGCTGGTTGGCACCTAATTTGCATCCAGCTAGGTGTGAATTGAGAAGAGCTCTTCACTCCCTTAGATCCTACAATAGGCTGAGAATACTTACTGCTGATAAACCTTTGTCAGTCTCTAACAGTAGTCTACAGAAGGGAAGGTTTGTGGATTTGGTTGCTGCTGTTTTCTCCTCCTGCCCTTGGTGTAGTTAGGAGCAGCACCAAGTGATGAGGTGTGGAAATGCTGGGGAATGCCTGCATCAGCAGCTCCAAGTCTCTGGGGCTGATGTGAAGTGAGGCTTCTCCCAATGTCTTGAGTGGAAAAGTGTTACAAAATAAAAAGAACATATTGGAAGCCTGCCTTGCATAAGGTGTCTGCAGGAAAAAAGGGTCTTAGTTCTGCTTTGCAGCATTGCTGCAGAGAAGTTGTGGTTGTGGGGGGCAGCAGAACTTGTAGAGGCATGTACCGAAGCATCTGCCAAAGCTCCTGGTGCCAGGTGCTGCTGTTTTGGCTCAGGACAGCGCTGTTTGCCGCACCCTTGGCCAGCAGTCATACTTACACCCTTTTTATTTGCTGCTGCAGGCAGTTTAAACCGTTGCTGTGTTATGCATTCAGAGGGCATGCTTTTTAAAAATGGAGAGAGAGAACAAACAGCATCTAGACTGTAGGCCTTCCTTTAAATTCTTATTCCTGTTACAAACCCCCTTTTTTCTTCAGAATACAGAATTCCTCTTTTTATTCTTGTACCACCATGTTTCCCTGCCCTTTCTCACTCTTCCCCCCACCCACTTGCCCACCTGCCTCCAAAAAAAAAAATAGTATTTTTAAGTAGTTAAATGGTCTGTATCTATTTATGGAATAATAAATAACTTCTTCTTTAGAAGGGTCCTTAATACTTCTTTCCACTGTTTCATCTCACCTTCTTAATGCATTCATTGATAGGAAGTTTGATGTTTGGTTTTCTTTTTGTTTTAAAAGTAGCCAAAACGCTAGCGCAGCTCTGCTTATCAAGCTCATAAGGGTTTTGTCCTTTCAGTATTAGCAGAGCCAGGTCAAGCACACTGCATTAGCATTAAGAGCATCATTTATTTTTGTAATAAGCCAATTACACTTGGGTTACTGCAGGTCAGTGTGTGTAATCATTCAGCTTTTAACTCGAGTTTCATTTGTGCATCAGGAGTTGTCAAAGATCACAATGCCGGTTATATTCAACGAGCCTCTGAGCTTCCTGCAGCGACTGACAGAGTACATGGAGCACACATACCTCATCCACAAAGCCAGCTCACTCTCCAGCACAACCGAGCGAATGCAGGTACGTTGGCTTTGCTAGTTCACGTGAGCTCTTGGTGAATGTTGTGGGATCTTTCTTCCTTATAGATGGTCTCCTTGTGGGAGGAACTCCTGTAACTTGCTGCATGTTGGCTTCTCTTATTCATTAACTGGTTTTGTTTATTGTCCTGGTTTTCACAGGGCTAGAGTTCAGTTTCTTCCTAGATGGTGGTATGGTGCTGTATTTTTGATTTAGAATGAGAATAATGTTGGTAACACACTGGTGTTTTAGTTGTGCCTAAGCTGTGTTTACAATAAGTTAAAGACTTTCTGCTCCTTGTGTGCCACTCCAGCAGCAAGGAGGCTGGGGGACACAAGAAGCTGGGATGGGGGCAGACCTGGGACAGATATTCCATACCATATGGTGTCAAGGTTAGCACATAAACTAAGGGAAAGCTGTCTGTGGGCTGCTGCTCAGGGTCTGATGGGGCATCAGTTGGGTGGTGTGCCACTGTGCTCTACATTACTTGTTTTGATGATTGAGATTCTTATATCATTATTATTTGCCCTTGCTTTTCTGCCCTATTAAGATGCCTTTATCTCAACCCGGATTTCACCTTTTTTATCCCCCCAATCTATCCCACATCCCATGTGGGTTGGGGAGGGGATAAGTGAGTTTATCCTGCTGGGTGAACCCACAACAGTCCTTTCTGGCACCCCACAAGGAGCAGAGCTTAAAGGGTTGAGAGAACAACGGATCTCATTGCAAATTCATAATAAGCATTTATGATATTAGTTTGATAATATTGATTTGCAGTGTTGATTTATTTGCTCTCAGAGCTGCCATTAGTGTTCTCGGAGTTGGGTTATGCAACATCTAACTCGCTGTTTATGTTCCCTGCTGTGCTGTTTATCACCTCTGGGGGCTGGGTTAAGGTTGGCATTTTGTTGTACTTTGTAACACTGTCTTATGATATGATAGAATGCCAGGTGGTGCATCTGAGCTGGTATTTGTACTTAGCATTGCCAGCATTTCCACACTTTGGGAGCCATCTATAGGAAACCATTCATAGTTACACCTTTTGCCTTTTCTTGTCAGACAGCCAATCCATGTGGGAAATACCTTCTTCCATCATCCCCCTCTCTTTCAGGCTAATCAGCTCTTGAGAATTTTGAATAGCATCAGGATATCAAATCTACTTGTTCCTTTGCTGCATCTCCTGAATGTGTTTCAGGTCTTGTTTATGGTAAAACAACTATTTATGGGTACCACCCAGAGATCTGCCCCAAGGCTGGAAAGCTGAGTGGCAGGGTGTGCAGGATAGCATGGGTAAGCACTCGGATGGTGGGCATCTCCAATGCCCATTGAAACAATTTCAATGTTTTGAAATTTCACTCCTAAGCAAGTGCAGAATCCTGAAAAATTAATAAAATGTTTGGTAAAAGTATGCTGTTCCCCTGGCAATTCTAGAGTGACAGAAATCACTGCAAGGTGCAGGGGCCTGGCCCAGGCCTAATAAGCCCTGTTCTATACTCTTCATTACCCTCAAGGGGAACAGAAGGCCTCTGGATCTGACAACAGAACAAGAGGCACTGGAGCTACTCCAACTCCTGTGCCTGGTGCCACTGCTGAACTGAAGAACCAGCCTGTGCTGTTGTCAGTCACCCCTATGCACCAGAGGAATTACTGGAAGCAAAAGTCAGCTCATTTAGTAAGGGATGAAGGAGTTTCTTCCAAAAGGGAGCCAGGAGAAAGATCTAGACAAGACAGACTACTCTAAAGCAGTGCTGTCATGAGAGAACAGGAAAAAGAGGAGATGTAGCTGCTTACTGGGGAGGTGGAAGATGAAAAATTCATAAATGAGACAGTATCCACCCAATAAATGAGGCAGTCTCCACCAATCCCTGTCCCTGTGAGCTGTGAGATACACAAAAAGGTTTTGGCTGTCGTCCAGGTGAACACATTGTCACCAGCCTACTCCAATGCTGGGGTAATAACAGAGCCAGTAGTCTGGAATCAGAGGGTAAGGGAGCCAAGCAGGTAGGATCCCTTTCTAGGAACTGGGGCAGTGACAGGTTGATTGGAAAAATGACACAAGTCACTGTGGAGGTGACTCACGTCAGGTGTGAAGGAAAGATATTCCTTCAAGGGAGATGTTATATGTCACCCAGACAAGTGGAGCACCTTGGAGAAAGGTATCAGCACCTGAGGGAAGTAGCCCTGCTGGAGGTGATTTATGATGACCTGGACGACAAGCAGCTATCCAGAGATGCACGTGAAATCAGGTGCGTGTGACCCATGTGGTGGAAGTTTGTACAGAACCAGAACTGTTTGAGCCAGCAGGCAGCTTCAATACCAGACAGCCACTCACTCACCCTAATTCCCTTCACCTCCTCCATGGGATGGGGGGTAGAACTGAGGCAGGGGGAGGAGAATAAATGATAATTTGAATATACAAAGCAAGTGATGTGCAGTGCAGTCACTCACTGCTCGCTGACCAATGCCCAGGCAGTTTCCACGCAGCAGCAGCTCCCAGCCAGGTTTCTTTCCCCCCTAGGTTATTTATATACTGAGCATGATGTCAGATGGCATGGAATATCCCCTTGGTCAATGTGTCAGCTCTCCCGGCTGTGTCCCCTCACAACTTCTTGTTTCTTCCAGCCTGGTGGGGTGGTATAAGAAGTTGAAAAGTCCTCTACTTTGTTGCTATACATTGCTTAGCAACAACTAAAACATAAGTGAGTTATCAACATTATTCTCATACTAAATCCAAAACAGCACTGTACCAGCTACCAGGGAGAAAATTAGCTCTATGCAGCAGAAACCAGGACACCTGTTGAGGAAAATATTTTGATATTCTGTAACACCATGGCTACTGGTTGATTAACTGAGTGATCTTACTCTTCTGAGTAGTGTGTTGCTGCATTTGCTGTGTCTGCTGTGGCCTCGCAGTGGGAGCGTACTGGGAAGCCGTTCAACCCATTGCTTGGAGAGACCTATGAACTGATCAGGTAATGACCAGAGCTGCACTGGAGAGTGGTATTCTGTGGAAGAGATGTTTCATTAGATTTGTTAGCTGGCTGGCAGATTGCATTTCAGCTCACAAGCTTCCAGCCATTCTCCTAGCTGCTGCAAGTGCATGCAGTGCACGTTGATGTTCACCAGTTCACCTGACAGTGAAGAGAAACTACTTAACTTTTCAATTCACAGCAGGCAAATTAAATCTGCCAGGCTTAAAAGCACATTTTATCTACAAAAATTGTTTTTTTCCCTGAAACCTTATGAATGAAAAATGTACATGGTACATAAGGAGAGTGTACAGGAGTACGCTTCCGTGTTCAGTTCAGAGTACCTAATAAGCAGCATGAGTCTATCAATGTGTACCTGTACCTAAGGCAGATTTTTCTATCAGTTAATAGTTTGGCCTGTGTTTAGGTAAAGATTTAAGAAAGAGATCAGTATCAAAAGTAATTGTATATCAGTATATTGATTATTTATCAGCAGTAAATCAGTATATTGACTGATCAGATCTGGTAGTTCTTGTTTCTTTTTTATATTATGTGCTTAGTTATTTAAAATGAGGATTTTCTATGTTTTAGTTCATCTTCTCAGCTTAGCCTAGGCTTTTAATTAACTCTTGCAACTATGTATGGGTACAAATATCCCTTTCACCTCAGGAAAAGGAACTGCAACTTCACTACCTTTGATATGTAGGTACATGGTTTGGTTCTTTATTTTGCAGAGATGATCTTGGATTTAGACTTCTCTCAGAGCAAGTCAGCCATCATCCACCAATCAGTGCTTTCTATGCTGAAGGTTTAAATAATGATTTTGTGTTTCATGGATCAATTTATCCTAAACTCAAATTCTGGGGCAAGAGTGTGGAAGCAGAACCAAAAGGCACGATGACTTTGGAGCTTCTTGAGTAAGTGGAGCAATAATAATTGAAGGGGTACAGTGCTTCATCCTTGATGATTAGAGTGCATTAGTCTCACAGCTTAGGAACAGAGGTATCCAACACCCACATCCCAAAGTCTAAGGGCAGTTCACTTTGTGGGGAGGAGGAGACGGGAATATGAAAGGAACTTCCGTTGTTTCCCCATACATGCTGCTAATAGCACCAGTGGGGACCTGGGCCTGAATGTTCTTCAAGTGCCTGAACATCAGTTCTGCTAAAGCCAGCGTGCCTGAGTCCTGTTGGCTTTCTTTGTATCTTTCCATGCTAACAGTGACTGCACCAAAGTGACTGCTTTAAGGAACTGATAAAATCAGTAGCAATAGGTTAATAAATGCCTTGGGTTTACTGACTTATTGCCATGCTCATTTCAAGACTTGGCACGATGTCTTATTGAAGGACTGACATCCTGTACAAAGATACAGTATTCTAATTTTTATTCCCTTCCCTTAGGCACAATGAAGCCTACACATGGACAAATCCTACGTGCTGTGTGCATAACATTATTGTGGGCAAACTTTGGATCGAGCAGTATGGAAACGTGGAAATAACTAACCATAAGTAAGTTAAGAATATGAACACCTTCACTTCCTGCAGGTTTGAAAAGGAGAAGCATTTGGAAGTAATTATTGCTCTCTTGTTCTGCCTTTAGAACTGGTGAGAAATGTGTACTGAGCTTCAAGCCCTGCGGTCTCTTTGGGAAGGAGCTGCACAAAGTTGAAGGCTACATTCAGGACAAAAGGTAACAGCTTAATTCTGAATTGGAAACAAATGACTGCTCTTGGCTCTGAGAGGAGCTGTAGAACTGAATGCCTTTAACAGAGTCTGTCAACAGCATGAACCTGCAATAGCAGGGTTATGAATTCTCCAGTACCAATAATGAAGTTTTTAAAGTTGCCCTCAAAAGTTGTTCTTTCATGTATTTTTGGGGAAATAATGGGGAAATGGGGAAATAAATCTCTTAAGTTCCCTTGTAAACTTAGTCTGCTTCTTTTTGACAGCAAAAAGAAACTCTGTGCATTGTATGGGAAGTGGACTGAGTGTTTGTACAGTGTTGACCCAGCTACATTTGAAGCTTACAAGAAAAACGACAAGAAAAATACAGAAGAGAAGAAAAGCAGTAAACAGGTATTAAATCACATAGATATGGGATCTCAAAGGCATGATAAGACAGCTAAATATTTTAGCATTTAACAGCTTTATGGTTTCCTTCACTTGCTTTCTCTTTCCTAGTAGGATACAAAACAGATTGGATGAGTACCAATATTAAGAGATAAAATGCTTTTCTTCTCTTGAGTTTGTATTCAAACTTCCAAAACCTGGTGTGATCTAAATACTGTCTAGTTCATTACCTGCCTTTTCCTCCCAAGTGACATGGAGGAAATAATACATGCATTAGTTGGGCCATTTCTGATAATGTATGATGTAACATATTCTAGAGTGAGGATTTTGATTCTTAGAAGCAGGACAGATTAGTATCTTAACTTGATAGAAAATAATATTTTCCAGGTTTTACAAGGAATTTTTTATTGCTTTCTATTAATTTTTCACAACTGTAAAAGTGCTGGCATTTTTTTATTTTTCGTCACAAGTGATTTTTTTTTTCTCTTGTGGAAAAAACCTCACTCATAATTCTTTCAAACTTCTGGCAGCAGTAAGCTTTTTGTTTAGGATGAATGGTTATGGTAACAGCATACAGCTTGGTGAAGAACTGTCACTTGGATAGTAGTTTAAAACAGGGGTTGTTTCCCTTTGGTGACTGCAGGCAGTAATTTTTTTTTTTGTTTGGGTGTTGATAGTTTTTGAAGAAACTTATGAGAAAGTGAGTTGCTTGGAGAGCTCTGAAAGCAGTTGTGCCTGTGCAGGTTCAGATTGTTGCTGCATCTGAGCTTGCTCTCCAGTGCTTGTCATCAGGAGAGTGGTAAAGCACTGGGGATTGCTGCTTCTCTGGGAGTCTGACCTGGAGAACTCTAGGGAGAAGGAACAAATAAAAGCACACCCTGTGTCTTTGTTCAGCTCTCTGCATTCTCCAACAATGCTCAAGATGATGATTGCTTTTCACTTTGAAATGCAGCACCCTGTTGCATAAAGCTCAAGCTGCAGTGTTGCTCTGAGTCTAGGAAAACGCTTTTCCTGCTTAATTAACAGAACTTTCTCTTACATAGGAAACTGAAGGCTTTGTAATGTGAGGTATGAACCAGGCAGTCTGTGTTGAATATGCACTGCCGCTATTTTCTGTGGTTTTGGAGAATTTAGGTGAGCCAAGTCTCACATATAATGTCTGGATGTGGTTTCTCCCTTTGCGGTAGTGAAGGATTCATTCAGGCATGAAAATACACAGATTTTTAAACTTCTAATTAGAATTTTCAGATTTACGTACTTGTTTTCCAGATATTACATTGTGCTGCATTGCTCCTAATCAATAAATATTTCTCCCTCCCCTGAGGGAACCTGCTCAGATGAGAGTCCTTTTGAAACTTATTCCAGATTTTCTCCCAAATCCCTTTCATTTTTATGGAAATATAATTTTTCAGGGAACTAAATAAGCCTTCATGCATGCAAAAGTGATATTTTACTAACATCAGAAGAATTATAGTAGACCCACAGTTAGACCAGGGTGATTCTGCTCTGAATGAACTGGAGTCTTCTTTTAATCAAGATGAAGCATGTGCCTCATTTATAGACATCTCATTTACAGAGGTCTTGCTTTGGCAAGTGTGTTAACTATCCTCTCAGCAATATACTGAACAGTTGAATAGCACTGAGCATAATATATGGATCATTGTGACAAGAGTATATGAGAATCCACATTTTACCTATTTCTCTGTAATTGTTATGCTGTTTTAAGATTTTGTATCCAACAAGGCAGAAATTGCATTGTGTATTGTAGCCTTTCTATAAAAGGCTTGGGGTTCAACAGTCTGATACTGCATTGTCTTTATTTTGATAAAAGGATAACTTTCTGATGTGTTCTTCAAATTCACAGTTTCTAAAGGATTGATCAGGATCATTTAAAGAATAAAATGACAGGTTGCCAGCACAGTTCAGATATAGTAAAGTAAAAGCCCTGTTTGTCTTCGTAAGAGCTGAGGGGCTAAACCTGGTCTGCACATTGTTCTGCTGATGGTTCATTATAAAAAGCACAGTGAAGGGCTCCTCAGTGAAGCAGAATCCTCACTACTACTTCTGATTTTCTTGGAAGCGTAACACGTGAATCATCTCAGGGGACAGCTGAGTGCACGTTGGGTACTGGATGTTTTCAGTATTATCTGATGCAACCTTGGGAGAGAAGAGCAAAGCTTATTAGCAGCAGGATTGAAGCTGCTGGCCTGTAGCCAAAGTATTTAAAGCATTAGTTGCCTTTAAGTTTGGTTTTAATCTCCGGTGATCTCTGAAATGTGCTGCTGTTTTTAGCTGTGATTGTGACACCAGGTTTTCTTGCGAGAGCCTTACTCATTGTCCAGCATGGCTTTAGTTTGATCTTCCAACTTCCTCTTCTGTGTTGGAATTAATGTCAGCAGCATCAGAGCCCAGCTGCTTTAAAGCTGTGTGTAAAATGGGAAATGGTTTAGAACTAGTTCAGGTCATACCTACACTGTGATCACCAGTTACTCTCCTGCCCCAGTAACCCTCTGTGGAGATTTTACTTTCTGGGAAAAGCATTTCACAGTCCTGTGGGGGGCTATAGCTGCCTCAGCTCACCCTTCATACACTTTCCATAAGCTGTAGCTAATTTAGGATATTCATTTCACATTTGCACTTTGCCATTTCATTAGTGCAGTGGTTAATGCAAAGGCAGGTTCCTCTGGGCACACAAAGGGCTTTTTGTTGTGCACAAACTGGGCAGCTTTATGTGCTGGCATTTCTTTCTTGTGGAAGGATGAGGAATGCGACTTCTATTCTTCACCTTTAATGAAGCAGTAGTGAAGTTAAGTATCAGGCATGAAAATGCTTGTACTTGAGGAAACAGGACATCTTTGAAGTGGAAAAATTGGCATTTCTTAGAGCTTGAACATCCAGCTTACATCTACAAAGATGTTGATGCAAGAATCTGTTGGTAGCGTTCCACTGGGAGGGAATTGGGAGTATGTGTGCTATGTTAATGCCTCAATCATTGATAAGAAAAATAGTTAAATAAATAAAAATAAATAATTTTCTGTGAGTTCCAGTATTGGAATGATGGGGTGTAAATGGTTTGTGACTTCAAAGAACTGCTTTTTTTTTTGTGTGCTGCCTTTAGGTGGGCAATACCGAGGAATCAGATGAGATGCCATTGCCAGACTCTGAGAGTGTGTATGTTATTCCTGGAAGTGTTTTGCTATGGAAGATAACTCCAAGACCTCCAAATTCAGCACAGGTCAGCTATGCTTCTCCTTATTGAAAGTGTGTGCTATCCTGTTACTCTGTGGGGTTTACACATCCATTTGCTGTCTTTGTCATTAGCAAGTCTGGATTTGCCTGTTTATTGCAACAAGCCTCCCCACCACAACTGTAACTTACTAATGTGGGGTTGGAAGGATAACTGCCACAGGGATCAATCCAGGATTAGTGGAATTGCTCCGGAAAATGGGATGCTTCATGTAGACAGTGGCATGGGGCTTTCCCCACCTCTTCTCTCCACCCTGCTTCCCCCACTGAGGCACCAGCCTTGTAAGAAATCACACTGAAGGGCTTTATTAGAGGCCAGGCATTTCCAAGGACAGACCTGCATGGCCCAAGTTGCTGTGTGAAGGCTGCAAAGCTGGAGAACCACTAGGCAGAATACAAGGGTATTATGTGCAACTGAGAAGACAAAGAATTGGTACAGAAAAGATGACCCCACTGCATTAATCAAGGGGGAAATCTCTCTGTAGAGACAGAAAAAATACCAGTAGGATTGAAAAACAAAGTAAGTGAGAAATAGTGCACTGAGTAATTGGATACTGGCCTCAAACAGAAACAGCAAGGATCACCTACACTGCCTGAGAGTGCAGTTTTGCTGGTATCTTAAGCAATCCTGTATTGAGTGATTAAGTAATACAAAAGCACTTGGATGTTTGTTTTTAGACAGCAGTTTTCTTTTGTATTATGACTGACAGTAGGTAGAGGTGTCATAAAGTCACCTTTCATCTTTGTCTCTGAATTTCAGATGTATAATTTTACAAGCTTTGCTATGGCTTTGAATGAGTTGGACAAAGAAATGGAGAGTGTCATTCCCAAAACTGACTGCCGGCTACGACCAGATATCAGAGCTATGGAAAATGGAGAAATAGGTAACTTCAGTTATGGCAAAGGCGACTTTATTTTTTCTTAAAACTGAGGGACTGGAAAAAGAATTGTTAGATGAACAGCTAGAGGAAGTAGCTCCCCATGCACTCCTCCATGATGCCAGGCAGTAACTCTTTAACACAGCCTTCTGCAGGCTGTGTTGAGCTTCTGGTGTCACCTACCTGTACCAGGGTTGGGATGGAGCTAATCTTCTTCATAGTCACCTATATCTGCTGCTGTGGTTCCAACTGGTGACCAGAGCAGTGTTGATAAACAGTATCTGCACAGCCTTAAGGAAATACTCATGCACTTTTCAGTTTGTCTGTTTCCATCAGCCTGATGCAGAGGAAGTGTTGTTTTGTTGTGCCAGTGCTGAGAAATGCAGTCAAAACTAAGTAAGTGAAACTGCCATGCCAAAAAATACACTTGACGCAAAATTATACTTCACTGGGAGTTGAACACTTGTGCTGTCCTAGAATAGTGAATTAGAAATACATGATGAGACTTCCAGTGAAAAGGAGTAGTGTGCTTTTAGAATATGAAAACTGGATGGCCAGCTTTGTAGACTGAGAGCATGGGGCTCTTGTTTTCTGTGGCTTGCTAACTGGGTGGGGTAAGTCATGAAACCCTGATTCTGTTTCAGGGCAACAACTGTGAGACTGGTGATAAGTAGTCTGAGATCTAGCAATAAAAACCAGTGTCATGGTGTAACACAGTGCACCTGTGTGGTTTTGTTTCTTTTTTCTCAGAAGCTAATAACCATTTCTTTGAGGCTTTTAAAAAAGTAGATTAGTGAATTCCTACTGATTCCTCTATCCTGCCTGTACAGCTGATTTGTGGCCAGGATGATGGATGTATTTGGTTCAGAGCATCCCCTGTAATTTTTCTGTTTAAATTTGAAGTGCAAATAGCTATGCTGTTAGCAACAGACCATATTCCTTTATGACAGACTAGTGGCATGAAGTTTGTATAGCAGCTAGTAATGAGTTAGAAAACAGTGAGTTAGATGCTGACAGGGAATGGCTAATTGAAAGAAATAGTTAAGAGAATCATTCTTGGAAGACTTAAGATGTGTATGAAATGCTTTTTGAGGATTCAGGAAAGTGACTGACTTTCATCTCATCTGCTTCTGAGTCTGACTTACTCCTCAGACCTTCTGATCATCCTTCCTGCCAAAGAGAAGCAACTGTTCTGTGTGTTTGGGATGCTGCATTAGTGCATTACCAAAAAAAATGAAGGCATGCTGCAGAGAGACAATTCTCTGTGATTTGGAAATAAGCATTCCAAACTCTGGTGATGAGGAACTAAACATCAGTATCAACTTAACTCAAAACTCAACAAGAAGCAGGTGGCCAGACTTCTGAAATGAATTGAACATATCTTCAGTTTCCCTACTGTATGCCACCTCCCTTGACTCACATTTGCTGTCATGTAGACACATTTCCAGGGTCCTTAGGCCATGGATAAATATACATTTAGCAGTCTTAAAGACTAGGATGCCACTGGCTGATCCTGTGCCACAGCTGGCCTGGCTTTGCTCTTAGACTAACCAGTAACCTTCAGTGTTCTGTAGCAGGCTTTTTAAATGGACATTTTCTACTACTGCCCTTATTTATTTTCTGGGTCAGATGAAGTAATGTCCCTGTCTTACATATTATGCTTTAACATCTTCTGTATTTTTGTGTAATTTTATTCCTTCAAGATCTGGCTAGTGAAGAAAAGAAGAGGCTAGAAGAAAAACAGAGGACCGCCCGCAAAAATCGTTCAAAGTCAGAGGAAGACTGGAAGACGAGGTTGGTGCCCTTGCCTCTGTCTGTGTGTAGTTATGTAAGGACTTTGAACGTTCAGGTTAAGTGACAGTCTCCACTGGTGACATGCAGTGAATGTTGTGTCAGCATGAAGAGCAGACAGACAGCATCAGGTCTGGCAGTGCTGCTGTTGTGTTTGCAGACTTGGTCCCAGAAGGATGTAGTGCTGCCAGGGGGAAGTGCTAGGCTTGCTCTCGGTTCTTTCCCTCACTGCTTGCACACCCGTATGCAAATACAAACTGTTGTCTTCTCTGGGCTCTTCTTGGTTCTGACATGACAAAGATGTTACCTCTGATGGCTGCTTGTAAGGACTGTTGTTGCTGGTTAATTTATACTTGCCTAACCCTGCCTTCTTTTGGAGCAAGCCCCTAACTACAGAGGAGGAGCTAAATGAAAAGTTTAACATACTACAGACCTGCCAGTATGTTCTGGGGACTTTTTTGGGGGTTTTCTTTAAACAATGAGGAGTCAGATGTGAGCTCTTACACACGAGCTACGAAGAAACAGAAAACCTGACCAGATGAATCTAGTTTAACCAGACAAAGTCTATTTAAAAGCATAGTAGTAAGTTGGCATTATCTTCTCAGGAAGAACAACAGCAGGGCTAAACTTTAAGTAAGCAAGGTTCTTCTCTATTATTAATACAGTCAGACAGTCTGGATTAAATATCTTCAACATGTTTGTAACTATAAATCACATTTTTTTGTTTTTTTTTTTTTTTTAAATGAAGTCACCCATCATCCCAAAATCCCAGGTTTGGACATGTCTGCCTTTGTCTTTTTCCTGTGCCTGCTCTCCTGAATTGTTTGGGTTTGTTTGCATAGAGACTGATGAAGAATAACATCTTTGTAAAGCCTCTAAGTCCTGGACAGCCTTGCACCTCTTGCTTCCTTTCCTGAATTCAGAGTGGTTCTAGCTCTCTGTTTTCAAGTCTGGGATAGTTAGATACTATTTTCCAGGTGCCTGAGGTAGCTTAAATATAGCTCAAACCACCTGAGGCTGGAAACTGAGGAATTCCCATGGAGCTGTGGTTTTTGGGTTATATAATTAGCACATATTCCATTCACAAGGTTCTGCAACTGCTGTTGTGCAGATTGTGTAGACCTGTTCAGCATGAGCCTGAGATATCCTTTAAGAACTCTTTGCTTTCCAGGGTGTTTCCAAAGCTTTGGCAGAAAATTCCTGGTGTCTGATTTCTTTAGTAAGAATGCCAGGTGTGGCTGCATATACAGGATGAATGTTAAGTTTAGGGAGAGTTGTGCTATGGGGGGGAAAAGTGCATGTTGTGAAGATGAACTGAACTGTTCCCAGGTCATCTGTAGGTCTTATTCTGCAGTACTTTATGAACTCAGATCTAAACTACTGTCATTTCCTTGACACAGAAAATCAGGTTTCTTGCTTTGTCTAGTAGATTTCCTCCTTCCTAAGATAATTCTCCAAAGTGCTCAGTGATTTTTTTTTTAATATATATAATTTTATTATTCTGAATCCACTTTAGAAGTGGAGTCTTGGTGTTTCTTGAGATGATTAATGTTGAACATTTAATATTTTAGATGCTGACCAGTAATCTTAAGGCTTGAGTAAAAATATTTAATTCTGTTCTGAAATACAGCAGTGTTGATTTTTTTGATGAAGGCTGTCCTGTATTTCCCACATCGCTGACTGGTTTAGGTCTCATACATGTCTCTCAGACATAGTTCTTCCCATTGCTTTCCCTTTTCTATTGGAGTAGGTGGGCACTGGGGGAGGGGCACTCTGTCCTGACCTGTACAAGTGTTGAGGACACACTAGTGAGCTGTGGGGTGGTAGAATTTCTTAATCTGAGCGGTGAGGTCACTGTAGCCCTGTCTCACAGCAAATATTTGGCTTTAGCTCTGGAATGAGCTGCTGTCACCGGTGCGATGGCCACCTAAGGCAATCCATGCACCTCTTATTTGGGAATAGCTCCTCCTGTGGGAGAAGCAGGAGTGAGGTGTGTACAGTACTAGGAGTGAATGACTTCTGTTGATTTCAGTTAATTTAAGCAGGGCAGCAGGAGTACCACTGGACTGTTCACCTGTTCAGTTACTCCGGGAAGGGAGCACAAGGCATTTCTTCCAGCACAGCTCTCTCAAGTCCTTTGAGCCAAGCATGACTTGCCTGTTAGCTGCCCTCCTTTGTAAAATAACCCTGCAGTAATGGTGTCCTTTAGGCTTTTGCCTTTTAAAGAGATGAAGTCATATTTGGTTCAAATGTTCTTTTTCTCATCTGAAATGTTATGGTGCTGGTGAAAGGAAGAGCAGAATTAAACAGGCTGTCTTGCAGATGATTTACTTAAGTGAGTGTGGTCACTACAGTGAGTCACAGAAACAACTGGCTTCTGCAGTCAGTGAGGAGGTGAAAGGAAGCTAGAGCACATTAACCACAGAAACAAGCTGGCTCGTGCCATAAATGTGGCTTGGCAAAATACAGAAGGAAGTTAAAATGCTTGAGGTCTGGTACTATGCACTGTTGAGGCACAAGATTGAGTAACTGGGCCAAACAGAAAGTGGCATTCACTGTGTGCTATATGGTGCCTCCAGATTAGGCAGGAAGAGAAAAGAAAGGGAAGAAAGCAGGTGCTCAACTTCAGTGTTTCTATTAATAACCAGCTTAGTAGAAGCTTGCAAGTAGCTCCATGCAGATGGAAACAGCTTTCTGGGCATTCAGATTGAGTCTCCTGCTGCCAACAGTATAACACAACATAGTTAACTTGTAATGAGCCAGAATTCTTCCCACAGTCTGTGGGTGATGTTTCATCCACACCCAGGATAGATGGCACACTTGTTACGAGTAACCTGCTGGACAAACCAAAGGGGAGGAAGCCAATGCACAGGCAGTGGAAAAAAGACCTGTGAAGAACAGAGAGATGAGTTATATGGGGATGGCGTAAGGAAGGCCAAGGCGAAGCTGGAACTTGGCAAAGCATGCAGAGAATAACACAAGTAGCTCCTATACATATGTTAACCAGAAAAGAAAGGTGAAAGAAGGTGATGGTTTTTAAGGTGCTTTCCAACCCAGGTCACTCTACAGTTCTATGATGAAGTGCATTGCAAAACAAGGCTTTAAAAAAACAAGGGGTAATCTAGATCGAGGGAAATAATACTTGTTTTCAGGACTGCAGTGCTTGTGGTGTTTCCATGTCTTGCAAAAACTGCTTGTGCATGCCAGAATGGTTGTTCACAACTGCTTTGAAATAAAGCTGTATCTGTCCTTTTTTATGCAATAATCTTGGTAGCTTCAAATGGCAAAACACTGGTGTCAGTAATTCCATCTCAGAGATGTTTAAGCGGTGTAGCAAATGGGGAAATGCAGTCACTGAAGATGACTTTAAACTCACTTAAGAATTTAAAACCAACAGGACTCCTGCAATAATTGTTTTGTGCAGTAAACTGCTGAAGATGCAGCAAAGCAGTTCTGAACTTGTACAATTGAGTCTTAATAGCTTTACTAACATGCTGTGTGTTTCTTTACAGATGGTTCCACCAAGGCCCCAATCCTCACACTGGTACACAGGACTGGCTTTACTCTGGCAACTACTGGGACAGAAACTACTTTAACTTGCCTGATATTTATTAAAATGCAGTAAGGAGCCTCTGACTGATACAAATAAGTCTTAATCCATTTTAATGTTTTCCCTTGTTCTAACTTATCTCCTGAAAATACTGACATGTTATCAAACAGAATATTAAGCGTCTCTGCAGTAAATCTGGTGGTACACGATCTGCAGTTTTAAAGGTAGGGGAATAACTTTTCTGGCTGATGGTGGTCCCACATGGACAAAGTCGCTGTGGTTTCAAGCTGCTCTGAGTACACCTATATTAGGTTGTGGTGTATGAGGAATAGAACACCTTCAGCTGTTCTATGAATACTTTATTTTGTAGATAACATTGGCACAAGTAAAAATGATTTTATTTATTGTGACATGGGAATGTTTAAAAAGCACACAAAGTAATTGCAATATTCTATTCTTAAATGAAGAAAAGGATGTCACTTCTGTAAAGATGTAATTTTTCATAAAGTGACTTTTCTTTTACGAAAGTAATTCCCTTTAAGTAATTCTCTGCTCAGGAGATTCCAGAAGTGTTCCCATCTCTGGAGAAGTAATGCAGTTGTTTAGGCTGGTAACATTACTCAGAGGTTATTTATTCAATGTTTTGTGCAGTGTGTTTTGAATTTTGCTCTCCTGTTTTGCTACCAACCTTATGGTTTAAGGAATTAAGAGCCATTTAAATATCTACAGATTTGATTTGAACTGCACACTAGTAACAGGTTTTAAAAGAATCTGTTTCATGCACTAGAAGTTCCGGTGCCCAGCACCACTGCGAGAACTGAATCAGTCCAAGAATGACCTAGTGAAACATGGCAGGGGGACAGGACTGTGTCTGTACTGTGCAAACTCCCTGAGAGGAAGTCTTGTGCATTTCAAAGGTAGTACAGCACCTCAGTGAGGCCTCCTGTGCACAACTGCTTTACCCCTTTTCAGTGGGGTGCATTCAATCTTAGCCTGTTTATACTGAACTGTGTACAGAGCTTCTAGAGGGCGAGCTGCTCTTTGTACAATATTTTAACTGCTGTCTGGAGGTTAGTGTTAATTGAATAATTTAATTGCTACTAAATAAAGGCTTCAAAACTTCTTGCATCTAGTCTAAAGTGAGTGGTGTTCAACAGTGCTGACCCCTTCTGAGCAAGCCTCATCCAAAACCTGCTGCAGTGAGGACAAGTGCTATATTTCTCTGTGCTCCAGGGACCACTTTTCTTCCTAAGCAAGGAAAAGTCTCCTTCTAGGAGCTTGGAAGGGCTGAGGAACCGAGAGCTTCGAGTGGACTACTGGAACTGTTAATAAGGCAATGAGATGCTTTCTATTTTTATTCTAGGCACTACTCGCATTACTCAGGTCCCGATGCTGAGATGTATTTGCATAGCTAAGGGAAAGCTTTTCCTTGGCAGCCTTTCCTGTGAGGGGCCAGCTCTCACAGTGACCTGTAGATGCAGGAGTTTTTAATGCCTGTTCTTTCTATAGGAAGCTTCTACTCTGGCCAGGACTTATTGAAATCTGTCTTGTCTGTTGTGCAGCTTCCAGCTCCTCAATGGAACAGCTCCAGCAGATGTAGCAGTGGGCACAGTTCACATAAAGCTAACACTGGGGATGTTCAACATGGGAATGCAGTTCTAATTTGTAGCTGGCTTTTTTTTTTTTTTAGCATTTGCTTAACATTTATTTATCATAATGTAAACTCCATCCCTCCTGACCTCCTCCTGATGTGCAAACAGCCTCTCTTGTTCACCTGCTTAAAAATTAACATGAACTCAGTAGATAAGTGTGGAAGAACTATCTTAGGTGCTCCCTAAATGCACTCCAAGGGGAGGGTATTTTGCCCCACTCTGAATATTACATGTTACACAAATGCTAAAAGGCTACAGGTAAGAATATGTGTATAAATGTGAGATTAAAAATGTGAAACAGTATCATGTTCCTATGTGGGAAGAAAGCTAATTTCTTCAGTACCCCCTGCTCTGGGCATGGGGTCTGAAGTACTGGTAGCCTGTCCTTGCAGTACTGTAACTTTCTACAGGAGCACTTATTATTGTGTGCTTCTGCCAGCTGGTCTTTGCAGACATCACATCAGCCAGAGGGGTAGCAGCTGGGAAAACATTGGCTGTGCATGGCTTAGCTGCACTTGCAGCTGCAGAATTAGAACCAGGGATTGCTGATTTCTCATCAGGGAAGGTATCTTCTCCTTGCACCAGCACCTGACTATCCAAAGATGGCATGGGTAGAAAAAGGTTTCCAGTCCTGTGTGTTCTGAACATCAGAACTCACTAGAACAAAAAGTGGATAATTTCCTCACTTCATTTTTCTTGCATCACATAATATGGAGCAAGTATTTATGACAGCTGACCATGTTATTGATCTTTTCCCCTGGAAAAGCTAAGCATTGCCCAGGAATAAAGATCCCCACCTCCAGCAGGAAAAAGGCTTTGTGCTAATTTTTGTCTCAACTCAGTTAGACAACAGAAGGTCCACACATTAGAGTGTGGTGGATGTCCCAGGCACCTGAGGCTAAAAAGACAGAAACAATTGTTGGAATCAGGAGCAGTAAGTTCCAGTCATATTGTAAATCTCTGTCTTAAAGAAACACACCTAGACCTAGGGAAAGCAAGCATGATATAGAAGGAATCTGGGACAGCAAACACAGTTTGGTATGAGTGACAAACACCGGCAACCTAGAAAATAAAATAAAAATGAAAAAATAAAATGTTCATTGTCAGAGCAGAGGCTCTTTTGTCTGGTATTTCTGAAACTGACCTTTGACAAACTTCCCTGAAAGTTTGGGGTTTTTTACAAAAAGCCACTGTTAATCTATTAATCTACCTAAGCTCAACTCTCCTTTACAAAAGGCTCTGCTGTTCCAGGGAGACTGGGGGCAGGACAGCTCCAGACTGGAAGATTTCTCCTGCAGCAAGGGCTGAGCCAGGCCCATGCCATCACAGAGAAGAGATGCTGATGAAGGCCTCACCTAGAAAGATGGGCAACAGCTTTCTTGCTCTTTGTTGGAAGGATGACCAGTGCTTGGCCCACTTTAGCCCAGCTGCAGAAACTTACCAACTCCAGCCACCACAGGCAACTACCACCATTTTTTTTTCTAAGTGGAAAAACATAGATCACTGCTGGAATAAATGATCTTTCAGGCAAGTAGAATCAAAACTAGGGCTCCAACTAGTCCAGCTCACCTTGGTCACAGGGAACATGGCTTACATCTTAGGTCCCTAACACCTGCTTCAGAAAACACAGTTTTTCAGCAAGATCATTTGGCATCAATGGGCACATTCCAATTATGTCTAGCAGTCTCTGCCCTCAGGAGTACAGTCCTGGCCAGAGGCATACTTCTTGGACCAAATGGCAGTGAAATCTAACACATGCATTGGGGCCAGGCAGACAGTGTTGGTTCAGTGGTTTCTTAGAAGTCATCTCTAACCCTGCATTGCACTGACAAGAGGTGAACTTCCATTTGTTTACCACTAAGCTGTAGAGCTGGAAAAGGAAAGATGACATGAATGCCTAAACTTTCTTACCAGACAAGACAAACTTGCCAAATTTAATTCCACTTGTGCTGCAGATTTTGTTCTCTCAGTATGGCAATTAAATAATCATCAGATGGGCCTAAGGTTGTAGTACTTGAGGCCTGCATTTTAATGGCTGCTTCACCTTTAACAGAAAATTTGTTCAGTCTACAAAAGGAATTACTTTGGAGACCGCTCCATAAATGATAGAACCTCTGCATCCATAATCAGCTCATTGCCCCAACACAATGATATAACCTCACTGGTTGAGGTAACCTTGGTTTCACTGCAGAAAGGTACAACTTGTAATGGATTGTTAGGATGGTGGAGGTGAAAGGCGATGATTCTCTGTAAAACCAGTACAGCAGTAGAAAAGAAGCCAAGTCTTTCAATGCATCACGAGAGCTCAGCACTGAGCTGCTTTCTGAATGACATCAGAAATTCTGAGAAAAATTATTTGAAGCATTACAGAGCTAAATCCTCTCTGAAAAAACATTATTCTGCCTGCCAGCCCAAGTCAAGTCAGACCCATTTATAACCTGTCAGTACTGGGCAATCCCACAGAAAGGAACAGCTGCATTGTAGCTGCGGAATCCAGTTAGCTCCCTACTGGTGCATGAGTCCCAAATCCTATACTGGCACTGTGGATGGGAGACTCCAGAGGAAACCTTGTTCCTAGTGCAGGTGCTGTGAGTGTCACTGCCCAGGTGCCTCCTGGATGGCTGGACAGGGATGTTTCCCTAGCACAGGCATTCAGATGACAACTTCTGAATTATGCAGCCACTCTCTCATCACAGTTGAAAAGTCACGGCACTCAGGCAAAGTCCCCAGTGACTGGAAAAAATGGTCTATCACATCTGTTTTTAAAAAAAGGTGATGAGGACTGTAGGAGCTACCAACCACTCAGCCTTACCTCTGTGCCTGGTAAGATCATGGTACAGATCATCCTGGAAGGATGATCACAACATATGGAAGGTACAGAGGTGGTTAAAGACAGCCAACATGAGCTGCAGCTTCTCCTAGGGCAAATAATACCAGACTGATCTAGTGGCCTTAGATGATGGAGTGACTACATTAGTGGACAGGGATGAGCTACAAATGTCATCTACCTGGACTTCTGGAAGGCCTTTAACAGTCCCTCCCAACATTTCTGGCAGCTAAATTGCGAGATATATGGGTTTGACGGACAAGGAAGTAGCTAGATGGGTTACTGTCTCTTCAATGACAGCAGGATCAAGTTTACCCATAAAAACCAAGCTGAGTGCGGTGCAGTTGATTTACCAGAGGGAAGAAATGCCATCCAAAGGGACCTGGGCAGGCTTGAACAATGGGTCCTTCAGCCAAGGCCAAGTGCAAGCTCTTGCATCTGCCCCCAGCATTCACACATTCCCATGAACCACTGCCTTTTCCCCCTCCCCACAGTACCATGAAACCTGCTTGTGCTTTCTGGTGCTGGCTTGCCTAATGCCCAGCACAGGCAGAACCCTTCTAAGCAAGTGCCTTTGCCAAAACCCATTTTCCTCACTAGCAGCCAAGCCAGATGTTTCTTCCCAGCACAGGATGAGGGCAATTCTTCCCTCAGCCTCAAGCTATGATGTCATCACACAATCTAATGCTGCAACTTGTGGAAAGCAGAAAGGCTGTGGCCACATCCTACCCCTCTGCCAGCTGCAGTGAAGGGATGGGTGCACAGACCATCCCCTGCTTTTACAGCCTGGCCTTTTAAGACAGGTGACATATAAAATCCAAGGGATTTGAACCAACAAACTGCAAAATACAGCACCTGAGAAGCAGTGTTCTTTGGTGGCCTCTGGCAGGGACTCAGAGGACACAGCTGGAGACTGTAACCTCTTCAGCCACACCCCAAGAGGAAGGAGTTCATTCCTTCATAATGGCTTTGTTTGTACTGTGGAATCTTATGATTGCAAGGGCAAACCCTGAAACAAACCTCACCTGCCCAGGTGATCGGGGAAGGTGACATTTGCTTCCCAGCACACGTTATTAGTAGGTACACACATCATCATCTGTTCCAATACAACAAGCACAAAAAAGGTCACTGTGTAGTGCTGTATTTTCAAGGTTACCACTGTGTTTTGGAGGATCATGAAGACAGAAAGATCACAGGGGCAAAGCATGATCAGGAGTCTGCTGAGGGATAAAACTTTAACTACCAACATTGCTGCAGATCAGCCTTCATTACAGTTGGAAAACCATCATCTACCTACCTACCTACCTGCTCTTGCATTCTTGGATGTCTGCATCTCCACACAAACCTGAGGGGAACTCCAGCAGTACTGAAGATTTAAAACACTTGGGTGCTAAAGCATTTAAAAAAATCTACAATAGCTTCTTTTTAAAAGTAACATGCTTGCAGCAGAACTCTCTGCTAATTATGAATGACTTTCAAATTCATTTACAGGAAAGTATGCTAATGGTACACTCACCATAAAATGCTTCTTGAATGCTTAATAATTTCTCAAGAAAACTTCTCACATTATCTCTTCAGTCCTGGAGAGTGACAACACATACAACAATATTTAAAACATTAAATATTTGTATGTTATGACTTGTGAAATT